AGTTAGGGTTTGAAACCGAACCGCCCTGAATCCGTGACACTTGTGCACATCTTAAAAATACGGATGTGCGCGGGGATAGGGCGAGAGCTAGATTTTGAAACCGAGCCGCCTTCAATCCGTCATATTCGTGCACATGTTTAAAAACTAAAGTGCGCGGCGTTGCCGCGAGAGCTAGATTTTGAAACCGAGCCGCCCTCAATCCGTGAAGCTCGTGCGGATTTAAAAATGCGAGTGCGCGCGTCGCTAATGCGAGAGCTAGATTGCAACAAACGGCCGCCTTCAATCCGTGAAACTCGTGCACATTTAAAAAAGCGACTGCGCGCGGCGCTGAGGAGAGAGCTAGATGCTGAAACCGTTCCGCCTTCAATCCGTGAAGTTTTTTTTTTTTTTTGCAATTTTCTCAGTGAATGTGCGCGGCGCCAAGCGAAAACTAGATATTGAAAAAATGAGCCGGGGGTGCGCCGTGATGGGGACAATCATTCTGCTAAAATCACCTACAGGTTTGTTGTTACGCGGTGTTACTTCTCAGGGTTACTCAAGCAGTGGCGAAACGTCTTAGCTTGCCTACTAGTCCTAACAGGAAAAGATGTAAGAACCTCTGGTGGCTTGCACGGATTGGTCTTAGAGCATTTCTGGCTGAGACTGCTTACGTTAGAAGAACATGGTTTTAGCTCTCAGAACACCTCTGGGTTCTAAGGATATGTCGTGGTAGCCCCGCAGGGATGCCAGGACGGTCCGTCCCTGCTCAATCCACTGCGCAGGCATCCGCCGCATTGTTTTTTCCCCATCTGGACCCCTTCTCCGCAGGTAGTTTCTCGTCCCAGATCCGCGTGTGGTCCGACGGCCCGCCTTCGGGCCCCGGAGGCCGAGAGCGAGGAAATCGCCCGCGTCCACCGACCGAGTTCTGCCGCTGCTCCAGGACAGCGCCTTCACCGACGAGCGGTTTGGCGAGTGGTTCGGCACCCTGCCCAGGTGCCTGTTCATCCCAGGGAGGTCTGCGCCATCCCGTCGGCCCCGCCAAGGAGAGGGATCTCATGAGAACGTCCCTGGTCGCTCAGGCGCTCCCGGAACAGGCGCAGTGGATGATAATGAGGACGATCAAGTACCAATTGCGAATGTGATGGAGGAGGAGGAGGAGGAGGAGGAGGAGGAGGAGGAGGAGGAGGAGGAGATGGAGGAGGAGGAGGGGGAGAATGAGATGGAGGAGGAGGAGGGGGAGGAGGAGATGGAGGGGTGTTTGAGGGAGGTCGGAGCTAGGGATGGCACGGACCTCGAGTTGCCAACGGTGTTTGCATTGTGATCGAAACCAGAACTTCGCATGATGATGCCCCAGTCGGCATGCCCACGGGGCCACCTGAATGCTCGGCCGTTGGGCTGGGGCCCCCATGCGTCTGCGCCCAGAAGCGTGGGCGACCCTTTTGGTGTCATCTGGCGCCATCTTCGGGGCTCTCAGGGTGATCTGCCAGATTCAGGCGGGACTAGGACGAGGATAAGTTCGTTCCAGAGCGTTCCAGAACGCTCTGAGAAGGCCGCGGCGCCCGAGACATCCTCCAGAGCCGCGGGACCTCAGAGATTCACGATTTATCCTCGCTCGATGTTATCCTCGTCCTGGCTTTGTTTTATTGTGGTGACATCTTGGCGCTCTACTGGGGGCTCCCAGGGTTATTTGCGGAATATTTTGTGTTTTATTTGAGGTCCCTTGGCCGATCTTGGGCGTTGTTCAGGTCCATATTGGGAAGTTATCACCACTTTGTGTGCATCCTCCTCCGCCCCCTTCGAGTAGGGGATCGACTACAACATTGAATTGCCCCCCTATCTTGTTTGTTCGTCGAGTCTATCGAGAAAAGAAAGCACGTATGATGTTCGCACATCTCCGCGCATTCTACGTGTTTTTGTCCTGTAGATTCGGTGGACATTCCATCATTTGTGGCAAATCAATCATGAAGTCGATCTCCTACTCGACCCCCTGGAGGCTAGCCGGGACCGTCTCGGAGCTCTGCCAGGGGCCCTCTTGAGGCCCGTGGAGGCCGCGTTGGGCTCCTCCTTGGATTCTGGGGCCCAGACTCCGGGGCCCTGGACCCCAGGCCCCTCCATGGATCCCAGCATCCGTGGTCCTGGACTCCAGGAGGAGGAGGAGGAGGAGGAGGAGGAGGAGGAGGAGGAGGAGGACTCCAGTGCCCTGTGTAGCCTCGAGGCCCACAGACGCCAGGCCTCGGGATGGCCACTTGTCGGTACGGGTTGCCCTGAGGGCCATCTGCGGACACCCTGGGTCACGACAGATGTTTCGGGTCATTTGGTTGGCCTCTGGGGCACAGTGTTTCACTGGGTGGACGTGTAGGGGCGTCGGGGAGTCCGCAGAGTCTCCTCTGGCCGCCCCCTCGGACACGAGTTTGGACCTCCAGAGAGAGACAGGGGGCGGGGGACAGCCAGGCTTCCCACACGCCTCCTCATCCCTGGCATCGGGGGTCGGCGGACGCTGTTCGCCACCGCCACCCGGGAGGAGTGGACCAAGGTCGCCCGCACGGCCTTCTCGCAGGGACCCTCCGGCGTCGTGCTGGTGCTGTCACTTCTGATTTTCGTCTTGGTCACTCACCTCGTGGTGATGAACCTGGTTGCCGGCTTTTTCATTGAGAATGTCTTGGACATCGCCAAGGTGGAAGATCTCAGGAAGAAGCTGGAGATCCTGAAATCGTACCGCGAGCGCGTCTGGGACCTCTTCGGGTGCGACAGCGAAAGCACGAGCAGCGTGCTCACGTGGGACGAGCTTCTGGAGCCGGCGCCACCGGGGCGAGATGGTGGCCTGCTAAACGTACTGAAGCAATCCGTTCATGAACCCCTTGCCCGGCGGATGTCGTTCTCTTCCCTGGGCAGCGACGACTCGGCGCGCCTGCCGGCCACCGTGAGCAAAATGGAGCTCGCGGCGAGGTACACCTCCGTCAGCCGTGATGACATCAAAGACATGTTCGACTGCTTGGATATCAGAGGCGACGGCACCGTCGACAGGGCGGAGTTTGCCAGAGAACTTGGTGCGGCCGCAGATGACCCCACCGCGTGGAGGATCGAGGAGCTGAAGGCTAAAATGGCCAAGGCCAGGAGCAGGACGCGTTACCTCGCACAACAGCTGGAGGTGGTTGAGGCTGATGCTTGCTCGCTCGCGGAGGCGCGGGTTTTAGCGCGTGCCAGCGACAGCTACGCCCAGGATCCGAAGCTGGCTTCGCAGACGCTGGAGCCCGACCTGGAACAGCTGCGGACGGAGGCGCTAGCGCACATCCGGGAGACGGAGGACGGACCAGCTACAACCGGGGTAAGTGCATAAACTTGGACTTTCGACGCTCTTGGCGGATTTCTTGGATCGGCGATGGGCCCCCCTGGCGGCGCCTCCCGCGCCGCCCCTGGCGCGCTCCGCCCGCAAGGAAATGGGATCCAGCGCCGATCCAATAATTCCGCGCGGACCGTCGAAAGTTTATGCTTGTGCAGTCTTCGTTCCCCATATTCCCCGAATCCCTGATCATTGGGTACTGGAATTTTCCAGTCGCGACCGACGAGATCGTTTGCTGCCTATTTTGCTTCAGATTTGGTATCGGTCGCGATCGACCGGTCGCGATCGGTGGCGACCGAGTTTGGGGTGGGTCGCGATCGGTCGCGACCGACTTGGAGTGCCGATCAGGCGCCACCGATCGCGACCTGAGACAAACGGTACATATCCAATGATCTGGGGGGCTCCGATTATGATGTTCCAACCTGTTTTAGCCTTGACCACCAGAAAGAATTTCGAGCACCAAACAAGTAAATACCGAAACCCGAGGGTGTTCACGTGCCAGGGCCCTGGGAGACACTCTGTTTCGACACTGTTTCGACACCGTTTCGACACTCCTTTGACACTTTTCCGGGTGCTCGAACATATGTCTGGGATGTGGTCCTTACGGCGGCGGCATTGGATAAGAAATGTCTTCCTGGGGCCCAGGCCCTGGCGCATTCCTCATGGTTTCAAGGCGAGGTGGGTGGCCCACGTTTGGCCGCCCATCGGTCGCGAGACCCTGGGTTCCTTATTGAAGGCATCCTTACCTAAAACCTCCACCGTAACTAGGGGGCAGCATGAAGCTCTGACCCCCTCTCGACCCAGACATGCGACGTCCTGATTTCTTCAGGACGGCGTCCCCGGGAAGCCTGAGTAGTTTTTTGTTACAGTCCCGGGGCCCGGCGAGGGCCTCTGGAGGCTGAAAACGGCGAAAAACCTCCGCCCTGAACTCTTCACGTCGCGATCATATGTCTGGGGAGCGAGCGCCGCGTGCAGTCCAGGCCACCCCCAGGGGCGCGAGGCCAGCCGCCCTTCGGCCGCGCATCGGCTGCCAGAGCCGCCGAGGTCTCGCTGCCCCTGGAGCGGGTGGGCGCGGGGACGCGACGAGGCCGCCGCGCTTCCCGCGCAGCCGCGGGGCCCAGGCCCCCGGCGTCGTGCTTCCCCAACCAGTGCTTGCACTGAAGGGGTCTATATAGCGGAAGTTGAAAGATTTGGCGAGAGTTTCCCGCCGATTTTGGCAGCAGGGTGGGTTCCTGGGTTCCCGGGTTCCAGGTTCCCGGCTTCCCGGTTACTGGTTCCGGGCCGATTTGTCGGTGCGGGTTTTGGGTTCCCGGGCTCCCGGGTTCCTGGTCGATCTCCTCAGCGAAAAGCATCCACTGATTGGGGTTTTTCTTTTGTGGTTATTTTTTTAGTTCGCAGCGGCGACCGCTGGAGGTCCCGACCCATTTCCCAGGAACAGTTCTTCGCGCTGCCCTGACCATTGGCTACTGGAGTTTTCCAGTCGCGACCGACGAGATCGGTCGCGACCGATCTTGCTTGGAGTTCTGGCATCGGTCGCGACCCGTTTGCCTTGACATCGGTCGCGATCTGTGGCGACCGGTCGCGAACGATGCTGGGATCGGTCGCGATCGGTCGCGACCGATTTGGAGTGCCGATCGGTCGCTACCGATATCCGAAGAAAATCGGTATCCAATGAGCTGGGTGAGTCGCTCTTGACCTTCCTGGGGCCCGAGTGGGGGGGTCCCTAACGGGAGCCTCGGGGTGGCGGGCCTTTCTCTCCTCGCCTCCCCTCCTCGCTCCCTCGCACGCTGTGCCCCGCAAAAAACGCTCCCCAAAAAAGCCGCCCTCCCGTGGCCTGGCGAGGGCCCCCCCAGAGACAGACGCGCCCGCCGTGCTCTTCTTCACGACGCGAGGGGGGGGGGCCTCTGCCGCTGCGCCGCTCGGCCGAGGCCGGGGCCGCCGCGCGGGAGGGCCAGCGCGCCACAGAGAGGGGCAGTCGGCCCTCTGCTCCGGACCACGGCCGGGGCCCAGTCTCCACCCGAGGAGCCAGGGCCCCCCGGCCGTGCACGCGAGCGCGACGAGCAGCTGCGGCGGGACCGAGGTGTGAGATCGGCGTCGGTTCGTGGAGGGTATAGTTCTTCGTGCTCGTTGGATGCTCTTGTGCACCCTGGGGGAGGGCACCCTCGACTGTTCTTCCGTTTGAGCCGGCGGAGGGCCTCGTGTTCTTGAGGGATGTTCCCTTCTGTCCTGGGCCTGAGTGCGCGACGAGCAGCCACCCGTCCTCGGCTCACTTCACGCCGCCGCACTCGGACTCACGGTTGCCGAGCAGCCACAGGACCAGGACTACACGCCGCCCTGGCCCTCCGCAGCGGCAACCGCGCACGCCACGATCGAGCTCCACGAGCAGCCCGCGCACGATCTCCACGGCCCAGACGAGGAGCACCGCCTCCACGATATGAGCCATGCGTGCCAGACGGGAACGGGGGGCCCTCCCGAGCGGTCCCGGAGCACGACACCGGTCAGGTGCTGCCGGCGCGCCAGCGCCGGCGAGCCGGCAGCACCTGGAGCGCGCGCCGCGGCCCTGCACTCTCATCCCCGATGGGCCTCCTCGTCGGGGCGCGGGCCACGGGCTCTGCCGCGCCAATAGACTTCTCTCCAAGGAAGCGTGCGGCCGCCACACCCAGCCGGTGCGGGCTCGCAGGACCGCGGCCGCCGTCCAGCGGCCTGCAGCTTGCTGCCCAGCAGGCGCCGCGGAGCGTGCAGCACGGCGTGCAGCGGCCCAGCACGACAAGCATCGTGCCGCGAGCGCCCAGCAGGTCCAGCATCACGGGGACGGCGGACGCGGGCGCGCCTGCGTTGGCGGAGACAGTGCCGCCGCGGGCCCAGCCACGCCATGCCGCCGGTTCATTTCCACAGGGAACTGCCTCGTTGGAAGACATCCGTTGCATACCAAAACATTGTTGTCGGCATTCCAACGCCACGGATCAACCTGATTGTTGCGTCTTTCCGACCATGAATCGTGCCAGAGTTCCATTCCTGGTGCAACCCCGCGAATCAATGTGACTGCTGCACCCTCATAATCCTGAATCCTTCCTAAGCGCCGTTTCTGCACACTGATCATGTGAACCCGTGAAATTCTTGGTAATTCTATAAATGAATGCGCGCGGCGCTAGGGCGAGGGCTACACTTTGAAAAGGAACCGCCTTCAATATGTGAAACTTTTGCACATGTTTAGAACGAATGCGCGCGGCGCTAAGGCGAGAGCGACATTTTGAAAACGACCCGCCGTCAATCCGTGAAGCTCTTGCAAATGTTTTAAAGCAAAGGTGCGCGGCGTTACGGCGAGAGCCACATTTTGAAAACGATTCGCCCTCCATCCGTGAAATTGTTGTCAATTTTAAGGTTCAGGGTCATAACTGGTGAGGAGGTCCCAGGCGAAACGCCCAGACCGCCCTAACAACTGGCCTCGGGGTGCGACAGGGAGAAGTTATGTAGAAAGAACAGGAAAGGAGGAGGAAGAGGAGGAGGAGGAGGAGGAGGAGGAGGAGGAGGATGAGGGGGAGGAGGAGGAGGAGGAGGAGGAGGAGGAGGAGGAGGAGGAGGAGGGAGGAGGAGGAGGAGGAGGAGGAGAAGGGAGGAGGAGGAGGAGGAGGAGGAGGAGGAGGAGAAGGAGGAGGAGGAGAGGAGGAGGAAGAGGAGAAGGAGGAGGAGGAGGAGGAGGAGGAGGAGGAGAGGGAGGTGGAGGAGGAGGGGAGGAGGAGGAGGAGGAGGAGGAGGAAGGAGGAGGAGGAGGAGGAGGAGGAGGAGGAGGAGGAGGAGGAGGAGGAGGAGGAGGAGGAGGAGGGAGGAGAAGGGGCAGGAGGAGGAGGGAGGAGGAGGAGGAGGAGGAGGAGGAGGAGGAGGAGAAGAGGAGGAGGATGAGGAGGAGGAGGAGGAGGAGGAGGAGGATGAGAGGGAGGTGGAAGAGGAGGAGGAAGAGAAGGAGGAAGAGGAGGAGGAGGAGGTGGCACCCCCCTGGGGTCCGTGGCGCGCGAGGCCAGGCGGCCTCGAGGGTGGGCTTCCCGGGCCGTTGCCTGGCCGCCAGGAGCGGCTGGCCGCGGCGATGCCCGCCGCCGCCTCGGCCCTGCGAGAGGATACACTGCGGCGGCTGCGGCGCGCGGAGGAGCGGTTGCTGGAGGCCGGGGGCGACGAAGTCTACGTATACACATCCACAGCTCCCTTCGACTACGCGTAAGAGTGACCCTTCGCAGGTGTGACCTTTGATGCGGGCCCACTGGGGTCTCCCGGTCGCGTAACGCGCGGCAGCATTGGTGCCTTGTGCGCCTGTGTTTGGCTCTTCCGCGGCCCCCAAAAATCCGCGCATCGAAGGTCACTCTTACCCAGGGTCACTCTTGCGTGTAGCCGACCCCTGTCTGGGCCCATCTGGGCCCAGGAGAGGCGCAAGCGCCCTCCTGGCCAGGCCATGGGGGCGTGGCGCGTGCACCGCTGCCTGGGCTCTGGAGGGGCCCGGCCGGGGAGCAGTGGATATGCGTACAGCTTTCGTCGCCCCGAGGCCGGTGGCGAGGCGGGCGGCACGGTGTGGAACTGAGCTCGAGGCGATCTGTTCGACCATGGTGCGGAAGCAGTGGGGACGAAGACCAGGTCAGACGAAATGACCGTGCAGCCGGTCTCGGCCCCGCCGCGGGGTGCCTTCCACGATGCACTGTCGCCTCAGGCGCCGGGAGGCGCTGGGCAAAAATTAGCTACGTGAGCTGATTCGTTGATCCCTCCTTTGCACTTTCCCCCTTTGTAGTCCGACCCGGGAAGATCAGCAGCCGTCCCTGTCTGTTCTGAGCACGACTCCCTGTCGGTGTCACCGCGGACGTTGTCGCTTTGAGACACGAAGGCGCCTACCCAACGGTGGCCGCTGCTGGTTTTGGACAGTAGCTGGTAGTGGGCATCGTGCCCATTATTTCCGTACCCACTTGAGAGACGCAAACAAACGGGGTCGCCTGCGCCGACATTGTCGCGTGAGCTGCCCGCGCAAGGTCTCGCTTGAGCGCCTTCGACTCCAGTGTAGCATGCCGCACTGGCGGCCCGCGCCAGCCACCGCGTAAGGTCGCTGCTCCATCTCGCGCAAGATCCCTCTGTTTTCGTCGCCCACTTCTGAGCGTCCAAAGCAGTGCTCCGCCGCTGCTGCTGCTGCTGCTGCTGCTGCTGCTTTGCACCCGCACCCGCGGGTCGGACGAAGAGGGGTGGATCGGCAACGCGCAGAAGGGGGGCAGGGAGGACCGGGGGGAGGCTCCTCAAAAGGGCTCCCGCTTCTCCCAGGGCGCGGGCCTCGTCTCCGTAGATGTGAGGCTGGCGCCTGCTAAGGAACAGCATCCTTCTGCAGTCGGCCCGGATCAGTAGGTCGACCCTGCCAGCTCAAGGGTACCCTCATGCCCTGTGCCTCGCGGCACGTGCCTTCTTACACTCCTAGGGCAGTGTGGCCCTCGGCAGGGTCTTGTGTCCTCTCGCGTGTCCTGTCCAATCGAGTCCGACTGTAAGGAGAGCTCCCCTCTCCCCCTCACCGCGCGCCGCCGCGTGGAAGCCGGGAGGGTGGGCTCACGCAGCCGCCTCCCCATGGCGGCTCCCCGGCGCCGCAGGGGCGCCGGCGGGATCTCGAGGAGCCACGCCCGGGCGGCGGGGCCGGAGCCAGCGGCAGGCAGGCCTTTTCAGAGTGCGGCGGTGCTTCTCTGGACGAAACGTAAGACTCGAATTCGCCGGAACTCGGGTTTGCTGACGCTCTTGGGCGAGCCCGTCCTGGATTCGGACGGTCCAGCTTTCGCAGGATGTCTGCGGCGGTTCCTCTCTCGACGAAACGTGAGACTCGAGTACGCCAACCCCTCCACGCTCCATTCTGGCAAGCAGACCTTCCCAGAATGCGGCGGTGCTTCTCTCGACGAAATTCACCGGGCACGCTCCACTACTCGCACAGTGCCTACTCGCAAACGTCCGGGAAAAAATCACACGCCCGCCTCGATGTGATTTATCGTATACCCTCCGCGGCTGATCCAGGCGATTTGCGTGTAGTGACTCTGCGAGTAAAGTGGAACGCGCTTGCCCAGAAACGTGAGGCTCGAGCACGCCGGAACTCGGGTTTGCTGACGCTCTCTGGCGAGGCCCGTCCTGGGTTCGTACGGTGCGATTTTCGCAGGATGTCTGCGGCGGGAGCTCGCGTCGAATTCCAAACTGGTTTGCGTCGTTTCCATGATGGCCCCGTCCGGCCGAACTTTGGCTTAGCGAGTCGCTCCGCTGGTTCTGGCCCACCACGCCTCGGCGCGACACGCCAGCCATTTCCCAATGCCCGAGCGTCCACCTCCCGAGCTGTCCCGAGCCTCCCGCCCCGCGGAGGGAAGCGACGCGCTACCCCGAACCCGAGTTTTTCGTTTCCCCAATCCTCAGGAGCGCTCCGAAGCCTTCTCGTGGCTTCGGAGGCTCGTTTCGACTGCGACATCGGCTGTCGCAGCCCCTCTTCTTCTTCCGGAGCCACCTTGCCCCCTCGTCACCCATGACTGGCTGGAGGCTTTGAGAGCTCGGGTGGCCGCTCGGGAGCAGGCCAGTGCAGCGAGAAGCAGTTGGTGTTAGCCTGCTCATGTTTTCGTTCTGCCTGAGGCTGCGCCCCCCCCTTTTCCTCCTCCCCCTTCAATGGTCAATTCAAGCATCGCGCGGCCCGCTTAGCTTCGACCGGAAGAGTTGCGCTCTCGACCTGCGAATCAGAGGGCTGGAGGCCGGAGGGCTCTTCAGAGGGCTGGAGGCCGGAAGCCTCCCGAGCCTGGAGGCGGCCCAGCCCGCCTGCTTCCGACGAGGTGCGACGTCACGGCCAAGAGGCAGCACCCTGAGGCACCACGACCACCAGAGCTTGCCATGTGATCGTGTTCTTCTTCTTCTTCATTGTTGTGCCGATCGGCGCGGGACCTCGTACCCCCCCTTCCCACCCCCATGGAGTAGATCATGGCTGCTTTTGGCGCCTGTCTTGAGCAGGTGGAGTATCCCCCGTAGGACGCAGGGCTGCAAACAGTCGCAGTAAGCAGAGGTCCGGAGCCAGACCCCCCCTCCCCCTCTTTCCGAGCAATGCCGAAACGCCAGATAATAAAACGTTCGCTAGGAGATCCGACGTTGCAACAAAAATGCAACACCGCAAAACATCACGACCGGTGTCCCGGTCCGCATCTTTCTGCTCCAGGGTCCTGGGGCCCGACATGGAGCGGAAACGTCCGTAGTGAAAACATTGCAGCGCCAGGATCTCAGGGTTACCTTTCTGCGGCATGCTCGATCGCCAGATCCATCTGTGCTAGTCCCGACGCCTGGTTCTCAGGATGCCGTTCGGCCACGAGAGGCAACCTCATAAGATGCCCCGAACAAGCTTCGAGCCTCGTTGAAAGTCAAGATTCTAGGCTTCGAAAAGCCCCAGAAGTTGAACAAAACACTGACAAAAACCAGCATGCCCCGAAACGCACCGAAAAAGCATCCGAAAGGATGCCCCGAACAGCCCCGAAAACGCAGACTAAACTTCGGTCGTTGAAAGTATGTATTTCCAGGATTCTTAGATCGTGTCGGAGCAGATGGGGTCGGAGGATCGCGCCGCTTCGACGATGCATCGACGATGCGGCTCGATGCGGAGCCCGATTTCGTCCATGCCGACGTCGCCGATGCGTCGCCGACGTCGGCGATGCAGCGACGATGCATCGGCGATGTATTGTCGATGCGGCGCGATCGTTCGACCTCATCTAGGAGGCCTCCGGTATTTTTTGATACATATATATATATATATAGATGGTATATATAGATGGCAACTTCAAGAGTCGCCATGTTTGATGGTGTCTTGTTCAAGCGCACGCCTTCCTACTTCAAGCGCGCGCCTTCCTACTTCACGAGTCGCCATGAATTTGGGAGTATTGTGTATTTTTTTTGGCGGGCCCAGACCCGTCTGCTTGATCTGCCTTCCTACCTCGTGTTTCCACCTACTTTTCGGCCACACGTAAGAGTGACTCTTCGACTGCGTGACCTTTGTTGCGACTTATTGGGGCCCCCGATCGCGGACAGCGCTCCGATGGCAGCGGCTTGCTCGCCTGGGTTTGGCCCTCCCACGCCCCCCCCGGAAGCCGCGCGCCAGAAGCCACTCCTCATATAGGGCCACTGCAGCCGGAGATCCAACGCTGCCAAGGCACTGCGACACTGCGACAACTCACCACTAGAGCCCTGGACCCCTGCCGTTCTGCGCCACCCTTCGAGCCGCCTCGATCTGCGAGGGTCTCTTGGGGCCCGAGACGGGGCGAAGGCGCCCGCTGCGGCACACAGTGGCAGCGCCAGGACCTCGGGGCAGCGCGGGGCCGACACCTCTGCCGACACCTCGGGTGCCCCCCCTCTCGTCGTCCGACCCCGCGCCCGGCGCCGACGGGAGGCCGCGCGGGCCGCGGGCGGCGCGCGCGCGCCTCGCTCGAAGGGCGGGCGCGCCGCGCCGGCCGTCGCGGGCGGGAGCCAGGGCGCCGCGCGCCCTAGATGCGGGCGTGCGCCGCGGGAGAGAGAAGTAGAGCGGCGCCGCGGCCGGGGCTTCGGGGCGGGCCTCGGGGGGGACGCGCCAATGGGCGGGGGCGACGCACGGGGAGGGCAGCGGGGGCCACAGGAGTGGGCCCTCTAGAGGGCCCCCACATGGGGCCCTCTCTCTGGGGCTCCAGGAAGGGGCCCGAGAAGGGCACGTTTTGACCCCCTCCCGTGTATCCTTCCCCTGATGATTCGCCCCCAATCCCCCGTCCAGGCAGGACAGGAGGACGAGGAGGGCGGGGCCGAAGAGGGGGAGGAGGAGGAGGAGGAGGAGGAGGAGGAGGAGGAGGAGGAGGAGGAGGAGGAGGAGGAGGAGGAGGAGGAGGAGAAAAGGAGAGGAGGAGGAGGAGAAAGGAGGAGGAGGAGGAGGAGGAGGAGGAGGAGGAGGAGGAGGAGGAGGAGGAGGAGGAGGAGGAGGAGGGCGACGAGGACGAGGGCGAGGAGGGCGAGGACGAGGACGAGGAGGCTGAGAGGGAGGACGACGGGGGGGGGGGGACTGGGGGGACGAGGAGGAGGAGGGACGACGAGGACCAGGACCAGGACCAGGACCAGGACCAGGACCAGGACCAGGAGGTGCCCCCCGCCCCTCCGAGGCGACGGAGGAGGCCGGCGCCCTGCGCGGCTTCGCGCGCGTGGGCGGGCTGCGCGGCGTGCTGGACGAGCTGCGCGAGGCGGTGCAGCTGCCCCTGGAGCGCCCGGAGCTCTACAGGAGCCGCCGCACCGTCTGCGAGGCAGCTTGTCGAGGCCTCCTGGGTTCCTCGTTATGCGAGAGGTGGTCAGGCTGAAAGGGGGTGGGGCAGTAAAATGTGGGCAAGTGTAATTCTCTCACCTGTATTTCGCAACTGACCTGCTGCACGCGGAAGTCCAGCAATACACTTGCGCCCCGGAACGCATTGCACACCCCAAGTCGATTGCAACCCAACAACTATATGGCACCAGATCGATTTTACCATCCCCTTTTCGCTGGACCTCGCCGATGCCTCGGCGATGCGGAGCCATGGGGATACCGATTTTTCTGCGCGCCGGCTGCGCCAGTGCTTCGCCGACGTCGCCGATGCATCGCGGATGTCTGGGCGATGCGGCGCAATCCTCTCTACTCGCAACCCATCTGAGACACCTCGATGACGAGGCTCCGGGCTGCGCGCAGACAGCCCCCCCAGGCAGTCCCGGAGTCGTGTCTGGCCTCAACAGGCCACTGAGTAGTTCGGCTACGCGTGTAAGAACGACCTTTCGCCGGAGTGGCCTTTAGTGCAGGCCCATTGGGGTCCCCCCAGCACTGGCCTGCACGCGTAGAATTGGCGTCCCCGAGGTCCCTTGAACCCGCGCGCCGAACGTCACTTTTGCCTAGGGTCACTCTCTCGTGTAGCCGAGCAATCCCAGCTGCACGAGTAACCTGAAAGGGTCTTTAATGCTGCCTGGCCCCCCCCTCCCCCCCTAAGCTTTCGCCTGGCAGTACAATTCCTCCTTCCCGTTCTCGTCCTTCCCTCTTCGTCATGCCCATCGTCCTCTCACGCAATGGGCTTCTCCTGCTGAGCCTCTGCGTGCAAGGAGAAGGAGGAAGTGATGATAATGAGAGGAGAAGGAGGCGGAGCAGCAGGAGGAGCAGGAGGAGGAGGAGAAAGGAGGAGGAGGAGGAGGAGGAGGAGGAGGAGGAGGAGGAGGGAACTGGAGAGGAGGCGGAGCAAGAGGAGGAGGAGGAGGATGAGGAGGCAGTGGGAGAAGAGGAGGAGGAGGAGGAGGAGGAGGAGGAGGAGAAGAAGGAGGAGGAGGAGGAGGCGGAGGAGGAGAAGGAGGAGGATGAGGACGAGGAGGAGGAGGAGAAGGAGAAGACGAAGGAGACGACGGTTAATAATAATAAGAATATTAATAATACTAGCATTAATAGTAATAATAATATCAATAATAATAATACTAATATTACTACTACTACTACTACTACTACTACTACTACTACTACTACTACTACTACTACTACTACTACGACTGCTACTACTACTACTAATAATAATAATAGTAATAATGATATCCATAAAAATAATACTGATAATAAGAGCAATAAGAAGAATAATACTACTAATACGAATAATAATAATAACAATAATAATAATAGTAGTAGTAATACTAATAATAATACCAATCGTAGTAGTAATAATAATAATTTAAAAATAATAATAATAATAATAGTAGCAATAATAAAACTAATGACAACAACAATGCTAATAATGGTAATAATAATAAAAAGAAGAAGGAGGAAGAGGAGGAGGAGGAGGAGGAGGATGAGGAGGAGGAGGATGCGGAGGAGGAGGAGAAGGGGGAGGGGGAGGGGGAGGGGGAGGGGGGAGGGGGAGGAGGAGGAGGAGGAGGAGGAGGAGGAGGAGGAGGAGGAGGAGGAGGAGGAGGAGGAGGAGGAGGAGGAGGAGGAGGAGGAGGAGGAGGAGGAGGAGGAGGAGGAGGAGAGAGGAGGAGGAGGAGGAGGAGGAGGAGGAGCAGCAGGAGGAGGAGAAGGAGGAGGAGGAGGAGGAGGAGGGGCAGGAGGAGGAGGAGGAGGAGGAGGCGGAGGAGGAGGGGGAGGGGGAGGAGGAGGACGGGGAGAGGGAGGAGAGGGGGGGGGGAGGATGGGGAGGGGTGGGAGGGGGAGGAAGGATGAGCTCGCCCGCACCCTCCCCCCTCCCGGGCCGCACCGCAGGAGGCTTGGCGTGGGGCCGCCCCGAGGCGTCCTGCTCTACGGGCCGCCAGGCGCGCCCTACCCCCCCCACACACAGACACACACACACACAACAAAAAGGGGAGCCCACCATTAGCCTCTCGCGGGCCAGGACACCTTGTCGTTGCCGAAGCCCACCGTGCCCCCCCAGAAACTTGTCGTTCCTTACATGGCGATCCGTATGGTATCATGCCGATTGCACGTACAGTGGGGGCGCGCATTCAGACATCATCTGTTATTCGTGAGGTTACTGTGGGTTTCTTCGCTTCGCGCGCTGCGCGGTGACTTCTCGCGGCCGTTGAACAAGCTGTTGCGTTCAGGGTGCCCTGGGCTTCCCCCCAGTCGCACCTCTCGCGCGGGTCTTCAGGACTGGGTGTCCTGCGATGGTTTCTCGCGGCCGCGCCCGCACTGTAAGCAGTAAACTCTTGGGAGGCCCTGGCGCATCTATCGGGTCGGCGCTGGATCGCCCATGGCCCCCAGGGCCACTCGCACACGAGGGGAACGGGGCGCGCTAGCGCCGACCCCAAAAGCCTGTGCGGACCCCCGAGGGTTGCTGTGCCTCCCGCATCCTCTTGCCCTCCCGTTCCTCGGGAACGCCAGACACTCGTTACCAGTTTGAAACATATCCCTATCCCTAGGTTTGGCATCACCTCACCTCGATGTCGATCTGAAGGATTCCCTCAGTTTCTGAGGGCCTATCCCTAAGATTGTCCTCGCTTTTTACTCGCCCATCTTAGGGATAGGGATGAGTTCGATGCTGGTTAACTCGGAACCTGCGGGACCGCCCCCCGAGACACGAGCTGCCTCGGCCTCGCGCGGCCTTCACCACAGGCCTTCACACGCACATCCCGCATGCCCTCCGCGGCCATTCGGGCTCAAGGCAAGGGTCAGTTGACCGAAGGCCCCTCGGCCGAGGGTGAAGAGTAGCGGGCAGCAGGTCATTTCCGACGCACGAATCTCATGACAGCACGTGGCTTCCTAGGCCGCACCGCCTTTCCATTAAGTCTGTCCTCGGCGTGTGGGTGCCAAGGCGGTCGAAATTCGCATGCCGTTGATTTTGCACACCGCTCTGGCGTTTGATGCAGAACGTGTAGTTCGCATACATACTTCGGCGACTGTGAAGAGCCCAAGAGCAGAACATCCAATGCCCAGAGCATCGACCGTTGATTGCCAGCATCGTGTGGTAGTCGCCAGGCATGTATGCGGCATGTGCACCGCATTCGCGGGCGTATTCCCCCCCCCCCAAGCTTGACCTCTTGGAGTTGTCAGATTTTAAAGGGTGGTCCCGCACGCCAGCCCTGCGCTCGCCGCGCCAGCTCTGCATACCGCGTCCGCCAGGCCCAGCGTGTCTCGGAGTGTCGCGGAAGGTGTCGCCTTGTTAGGCAAACCGCGGCCGCCAGGCCCGAAGAGCATACATCCAAGCTGCCATACATCTTCCAGTGAAAAGAATTCAAGATCACACAGCAACAGCGTCCATCAGTTTCATGCACACCAGCATGGACCAGCTGATCAGCACCACATCTCAAGGGCGTACAACATTTACTGGCACAACTGCCTGCAACCAAGAACATACGGCAGTCGCAGACACTATTTTGCACCGATGCCCTACATCGAGATGAAGTACATCGATATTACATCGAGACGGGTTCAATATCCGCTAGGAGCCCTTCAGTGCAGGCACCGAATTGTGAACAACGCAACAATAACCTATGATATAGATGTGCACCAAGAGTGTTCGACAGTAGCTAGCCTCCCCTTGCTTCACCAACATATATCCGTAAGGGCTTCGCCCTCTGTCTCTGGTTTCCTCTCTATCACAGTGGAAGATATCTGAGCCGTGATGGGCACCGTGTTGTCTGAGCGCCGTGTTGTCTGAGCGCCGTCCTGAAGACATCTGTGAACATCATGCGTGGACGGATCGGAAGCAGTCGTACATATTCAGATGCCGGGGGCTTTTGTAAAACACGTTGTTGCATGTTTGAAGTGTTGCCGTCAGAGGCGCACGTGCGGGCTAACTTACAAAACCATTTTTGCTTCGGGAGCGAGAACCTAAAGTAGTGTACTAGAGAATCTGCCCTCGGAAGCGTGATCCTGGTCCAATGTAAAGGACTACGGTTTCGGGAGCGCGACTCTTGCATCATTCACCAGTGATTCTGCCCCAGGGAGCGCGGATCACGCGTAGTGGACTTTCTGTAATTTCTGAGGGGTTCTGGTCTCGGGAGCGCGAGCCTGGCGCAGTTTGCAAAATCAAACAGACGTCAGGAGCGACAGCCCTGCGGAATCTGCGAAGGATTGTTGCCGCGGGGCGCGGATCTCACGCATTCGTACGCGTGTCAGGGCTCCCCAGACATCTAGAGCACGCGACTCGGGCGTGGTGGCCAGGCTGGTTTTCGGCTCCGCCCCCTCGCGCGGAAGTAACCATTCACATCGGAGACTGGAGAATTGCATTGGCACCGCCAAGCAGCCTGATGGCCCCACAAGGGGGCCGGTGCATACCAAGCACGTGCATCACGGACAACAGCCACATCAATACACCAACACTCGACATCGAGAGCACACATCATTCCATCACTGCACCACCGAACACATGCACATGTAATAGACATACCGTGATCATAAACAATTGAAATCACCAGTTGCACACACCAATCTGACACCAATGGCACGCTGTGCTCGCATTTGGTAATCGCGCTCATCGGTAACATATGTAAATTAACTTCGGGACGATACACCATGCAGGAGCACACCGAGCAATGCCATACAGCAAAACTGTGCATTAACAGCATGCGCCCACGATTCATGTACATGCCGCAAGGCCATACACCGATGACGTACATCTTGATGTGCGGGATCTCCTTATGCTTACCGCTCGAAGCAAAATAATGTGTTCGATTGTTCACTTGTTTCGTCTACTCCGTGCATGTATCTATTTACAAATGTACATCTATACACATATTCACAGAACAGTGCTTGCACTTAGGGTTCCTAGCTTGCTTGTCATTCGGAGCATGGCCTGCGGGTCGGTCTGGCGGTCCCGTTCTCGTAGTCGCCGCCGCTTCCTCGCCGCTCGTCGTCTGGGCCCGCGGGCCGGCCTGGCGGCCCCGTTCTTGCCGTCGCCGCCCCGTCGCCGCTTCGTCGCCGCCAGCCGTCTGGGCCTGCGGGCTAGTCTGGCGGCTCCTTTCTCACCGTCGCCACCCCGTCGCCGCCTCGTCGCCGCAACAAGGGCTGCGCCATATTGAGTGCACCACGTAAATTCTCCTTTCTAAAAACAAATAGACTCTACCCCCCCCCGGCGTTATCGATCCCCTTTTCGGGTATGTAAATTACATATGATTCTGACCACATGTCCATCATAAATATGAATTTGCACTATCCCTGGGGGGCCGGGTTTCCCCCCCTGAGGTTCCCTTGTGAAAAACAACATGCGGTGACATTTTTTGCTCTAACATAGCACTTTTTCACGAATCCTTTTGCAAAAAATGGGACGAAGTGCACACGCGCGCGTCGTCGCGCGCGCATGCCGAAATCCTTCAAAAACCTTCGGTACCGGAAGGATTTCGCAATCGAGTTTCCCAACAACATACAAAAACACAGGGTTTCGTAACACTGATTTGCTAAAAAAGCTTACGCGCGAGCTCTTGCGAAATCTTAAGAAATCCATTGGTTTTCAATATTTTCACAAACTGCTACCAAACGGGCGTCGCGCGCGGTCATGTCGAAATCTGTCGAACGCCCTTGCGCGTGTGCCGTCGCGAGAATCCTCTGCAACAAATGGGACGAAGTGCAGACGCGCGCGTCGTCGCGCGCGTACGCCGAAATCCCTCAAACCCATCGGTTTCGGAAGGATTTCAAAATCGCGCGTCCGAAAAACCTACAAAAACACAAGGTTTCGCAACACGGATTTTCAACAAAAGCGTGCGCGCGCGCTCTTGCGGCGTCGTCGTCGTCGTCGTCGTCGTCCTCCCTCCTCCCGCGTCGTCGTTGTCGTCGTCGCCTACGTCGTCCTGTGTCTTTCCTCGTGTTCGTCGTCGTCGTCCTCTTTGGCGTCGTGGTCGTTTCCGTCGTCGTTGTCGCCGTGGTCGTCCTTCCTCCTCCCTCGTCGTCGTCGTCGTCCGTCGTCGTCCGTCGTCAGCGTCTCGTCGTCGTCCCTCCTATTTCGTCGCCGTCGTCGTCGTCGTTGTCGTCGTCGTCTCGCCGTCGTCTTCCCTCCTCCCTCGTCGTTGTCGTCGTCGGCGTCGCCGTCCTTCCTCCTTCTTGGTCGTTCGCGTCGTCGCCGTCCTCCCTTTTCCCTCGTTGTCGTCGTTGTCGTCGTTGTCGCCGTCGTCGTCCTCCTTCCTCGCGTCGTCGTCGTCTTCGTTGGCGGCGTCGTTGTCGTCGTCGTCGTTGTCTTCGTCGTCGTCGGCGTCGGCGTCGTCGTCGTCGGCTTCGTCGTCGTCGTCGTCGTCGGCGTTGTCATTGTCGTCGTCGTCGGCGTCGTTGTCGTCGTCGGTGTCGTCGTCGTTGTCGTCGTCGAAGTCGTTGGAGAAGTCGGTGTCGTCGTAGTCGGTGTCGGCGGCGCCGTCGTCGTCGTTGTCGCTGTCGTCGTCGGCGTCGGTGTCGTGGCCAAGTGCCATGTGGTACCTACCGTCACGGTCTTGTCTTAAGAGGTCGTGCGACCAAGTCGCAGGTGGGAGGGTGGGATGTTTGCACGAGCAGTGGAGAGGACAGCTTCAAGACGGTCAAAGTGAATTGCACAGCATAGATTGCACCAGATTTGTCGTACAGCATTGGCTGCAAAACATTTCACTGTGTCCACAGATATTGCACCACGTAGAGTGCACAACCTATATTGCCACACATGTATGTTACCATCTAAAGTGTACCACATCGGTTGCGCCAACCAGGCTACACCACATAGACTGCACAGCATTCGTTGCACAGCATGTGCTGCATCACATAGATTTCAATACCCAGGTTGCTCCACATAGATTGCAGATCATACATTGCTACACAACGATTGCACCACACAGATTGTACCACAGCGATTGCACCCAATATACCTCACAGCATATTTGGCAAAAGCGTGTTGCTACAAACGAGCTTGTTTCGGCCCGCGCTGGCTAGCACCTATCTCTCTCTATATATTTATATGCGTAAACCATGTGCGCGCAGTGGGCTGTCGATGCACGCGTGTGTGCGGGCATGTGCGCGGCATGTGCGCGGCATGCGCGGGGCAGGGGCCCCCATCACCCAATTCCTACTCCTCTTCCCTCCTCCTCCGCATCCTCCCGCCTCCTCATCCCTCCTTAGAAGGCGGAGGCACTCTCTGTAGATGTAAGGCTGGCGCCTTCTAAGAAGCAACCTCCTTCTAAGAAGACTTTCCACCTCCCCCTACCCCTGTGTGCGCGCCGCCAAGTCCAGCACTTCCATCAACACAAGACACGGCTTCGGGCATCACAGCCAGCACCAGAGAGTTTCTTGCGTCGCAGGCAGCAGTCGGACAGTACAATACCCGCGTGAACATACACTTTCGCACCTCCGCGCGGATCTCTCGGATCTGCCATCGGCCCCCCGGCGGCGCATTTGCCCCCGGTACGCTCCGCGCGCAAGGCAGGCGGGTCCAGCGCGGAGCCGAGAGAATCCGAACGGGAATCGGAAAGGTTATGTTTGCGTGTGTCATCTTGTTTGGGGGCCCATCGAATATACACCACCACCATGCCGATTCCTCCTCTCTCCTCTTTTCCAGCGAGGGGGAGGTGGGGAGGGAGGTGGTGGTGGTGGTGTATATTTTGGGGCCCTCCATTGTTCTTCTTCCAGTGAAGTGCAGTCGAACCGCCTCTCTGAGGCAGTTTTTCTTCAGATGTCGGTATGTTTGCTTGCATGTCCTGGGGGGGGGCGTGGCGAGGCCTGAAAGGAAATCTGAACTTCACGCAGGTCGAGACCCAGTTGCGCGCATTTTCGTCCCAGCGTTGCTCAGACGCCTGGCAGAGGGGAGGGGGGGGGGGGAATGCCATGCAAGCAAATCTGCCGGAGGTTGAAGAAAAACAGCGTCCTATCTGGGCACGCCTGGTCACGCATGCCACCAGGGTCCGGCGACGGCGGCGACGGCTCCCGCCCTGCGACAGCGCATGCCCCGCGCCCGCACGATGCCATCCTGCTCTTCCTCCACGGTCTGGAGTCGGGACCGAGCGGCTCCAAGGCGCAGTACCTGCGGCAGGCGTTCCCGAACAACACGGTCCTCGCCCCGGACAGTTCGCAGGAGGGCCAGCTGAGTCAGCGGTGGCCCTCCTTGGCTCAGGGGCAACGCTGGGGGCGATAGGCTCAGGGGGGGATGCATCGACCCCGAATCGCCCATAGATCGCCGACGCGGGCCTATCGCGGCTTCGCCATCGGGAACCTATCTGCGATCTATCGGCGAGGTATCGCCGATTCAAGGTAGGAGTTTCCCCCTTCAGCCATTTCCCCCCTAACGTTGCCTCTGACTGCCGCGTTTCGTCCTTCGTGGGCCTTTGGGATCTTCTCGTCGCCACGGCTTGAGCCGCTTCGAATCAACACGTCATGATCGACCCCGGGAGGGGTCCCGAGACACATTTCGAGCGGGTGTGGTCGAGCGCGAGAGCCGCCGTTCTCTGTAATCCGACGTCACGAAAAAGGCAACATGTGTTTTTCTGCTGCGCTCGCAAGCCCGATCGATCTGTGATGGTTCGGGGGCCCGACACAGGGCGGACATGCCCGTTGTGAGAAATTGCGATCGCCAGGAGCTCAGGGTTGTCTCAGTTGGCCCGCCTGCGAGACGTGGAGATGTCCGCACTCTCGCTCACGAAGCGGAACAGCCTCCTGTGCAACTTCGGCTGCGCGCGCTGGTCGATGGACGGCTGCGTGCAGCTGGCGCTCGATGCGCTGAAGGATGCGCTCGAGCAGCTGCTGGGCGGGGGCCTGGGGGGGTCGACAGGCTTCGGGTCGCCGTCGGGCCCGCAGGAGAGCATGTCGGGCGGCGGCCCGGAACATCAGCGGCGTTGCAGTGGGTGCTCGTTGACGGGCATTTTATGCAAGCCAGTCCGGAAAATCCCAGACCCCCTCGCATTGGGAGGGTTTTTGTTAGTTTCAGCCCCTGTGGGACCCCCCCGCAGGCCGAAGAATCGCGAAACGACGACTCGGGGTGAAATGCCGGTCTGGTGGACTGTGTCCCGGTTGCTGAAAGATCCCGGCGTCGGGTGGGTGGGTGGGACGTCACAGAACATCGAATATTGCCCACGTTCCTGAGATCCGACCTAGCGAAAAAATTGCAAGATCGTGAAAATCCGCGCCCGGAGCCCCAGACCCCATCTTTCTGCGTCATTTTTCGAGGCGGATCGATCTGTCAGGGTCCCGAGGCCCGAAAACAGGCGAACACGCCCGGCTCGCAAACATGGAGTCTCCAGGATCTCGGGGGTCGGGGAGGGTCTTAGGTGTAAGTCGGGCCTGTCCCCTTACAGGGAATTTTCAAGGAAAAATAGGAAATACTTCAAAACTAATAAACAGATACTCCAAAAATAGACAGGGGACTATTTCTTGAGTATTTTCCCACCTTTTTATTTTTCGTCGAAAATCCCCCTGTAGGGGACACGCCCGACATAATCTTGGGGCCGCTTGGTCGCTGGCCGCAGGTGCCCGTCAGCGGAGCCCCAGCGGGGGACGGCGCGGAGGGGAGCCCCCCCGCAGGAGCGCGAGGAGGGCGCGCCGGGGCCGAGCGGGCTCGTCCAGGCGCGCTTCAGCGCGGAGGGGGGCCCTGCAGCCGAGGCCACGGCAGCCCTCCCTCATGAGGGACACAAAAACACACAGACACAACCTAGCGTCGATCCCTCAGAAAAGAGTGGTATGTATGTGTGTGTATATATATATATATATATAGGTGTGTGTATATATATATATATATATATGTATGTGTGTATATATATATATATATATATGTATGGGAAGGGGGGGCCGACGAAGACGTGGAGAATACACAGGAAAGCATGGGGAATCATGCTATTTGGGTCTATTCATTGGCGTGTCCCAGGGCCCCTTCAATTCCGCCTGTGCCAGGCCCGCTCCCGAATCCGTGCCCGGGCCCCTCCCGGAGGCCGTGCCGACCAGGCTCGAGGCAGCTTCTCTTCCGATTCTGGCAGGTTTGTTTGCGCAGAAGTCGAGTAGGGGACCGACTACAGAATCGATGTGCCCGAAAATTGTTTTCTTCGCCGAGTCTACGGAAAATACATAGAATGCTCCGTAGAGCCTGCTACGTATTCGTTGAACTATTCGACGAAACATCACTTCGGGTTAAATAGGTAGTCGATCTCCTCCTCGAAAAAGGCGGGGGAGGGCGCGAGGCCACGCCCGACAGGAAGTCTTGACTTCACGCAGGCTGGGTCTCGCTTTTGCACGTCTTCTCGGCCCAGCGCTCTCTGAAAAGACTCGGCTAGACGTAAGGGTGACCCCTCGCCAGAGTGACCTTTGGTGTGGGCTTATCGGTGTCCCCCCGATCGCTGAGCGCGATGCGATCGCGGCTGATCGCGCGCTTTGAGTTGGCCGCCTTGCTCCCCCTTCGTCCGCGCACCAGGGGTCAGTCTTGCCTGGGCTCACTCATGCCTGTAGCCGAAAGGCGGAGCGGGGAGGGGCGTGCCCCGCAAGTGAACTCCGCCCGCGTTTCGAGGGACACACGTGTTATTTCTTGTCGGATCCGTCCGCTCGGCGACGGGAATGTCCCTGGGGCCCCCAGAAGGACGCTCCGCGCCAGTGAGAGGCAACATTAGGGGGGGGGGTCCTCGGGGGGGGGGGGGGGGCGCGGCCATGGCCTTAGACGAGGCTGCGCGGGAAGCCGGTGCCCTGGCTCTAGTCCTTGCAAGTGTGCTACCAGCTGGAACTCGTGCCTCTTGTGCTGCGGCACGGGGGATGTATTCTGAGCCCTCCGGCCGCCTGAGGCCCCGCCCGCCCGCGCCCTGTCTCCCCAATTAGGGCTACTCGCGTCCCGTTTAGCTCTTGACCGGAAGGGGCCCGCTCCCGACCCGCAGACCAAAAAAGCGCTGCGGCACGGAACCGAACACCGACCCCGATATCCGGCGACAGCCCGGGCAGCCTCGCCGACCGGTCGGCAACAGGTCCCCCGGGGGCGCCCCCGCACGTTCCCGGGCGGGGTGGGGCTGCCGGGCCCCGCGTCGGCGACCCATGGGCGATGGGGGGGCCCATGCCTTGGCATCGCTCGGACGTGTGCATTTTTCTTTCGGCGAGGACCATCGAGGAGCATCCTTCATCATTTGGCGAAAAATGCCACGCACGAACCCCTCAAAAAACACAGGGAATGGACGTCCGAGCGACGGCCAGATGCGCCCCACACCCCCGCGGGGCCGCTTCCGCCTGGCGGTGTGCCCTCGAGCCCGGGGAGGGCTGCCCTTGCCTCGACGAGGCTCCCCTCCGGCCAGCAGGGAGGAGCTGGAGCTCATCGCGGAGAGCCACACACGACGGCGTGCTCGGTAGCAGGTCAAGGGAGCCTGGAGTACCCTTTGAATGTTGTCTTTAGCTTCGACAGGTGCCAGTTTGCGTCTGGGAGTCGATGAGATAGAGCCGATGTAGCGCCGGTTCGCGTCGAGTAAGCGTCGAGTAAGCGTCGAGTAAGCGTCGACTAGCGTCGATTGGCAAGAGCCGACAAGATGGCACGGGCGGCTCCCATGAGTTGCCACCGAAGCAAAGTCTGGAGGTCCACGCGGATGTCTTGGATCGGCGCCGGATGGACACCTCGTCCTGGCGAGCCCCCGCGCGCCAGGGGCGGCGCTTGGAGGCGCCGCCAGGGGGGGTGTCCAGCGCCAATCCAAGAGATCCGTGCGGCCCTCCGAGTTGCTATGTTTATGCCCCGGCGGAGAGCGAGGGGGGGAAGCGAGAAGGCGCGGGCCCCCCAGCCTTCCGAGAAGTGTTTCAGAAGCCTCCCCCGAAGACGCCAACAACAGACCTGTCCGAAGGTCGGATTGGGAAGCCCCGCCGCCCTCCGAGAAGGCCTTCGCCTTCTCAGTTCCCCCCCCCTCGCTCGCCGACTGCAGTGTCGTCGTGCGGCCCTCCAGATCGGGCGCCGCCTGGTCGTCGTTGGCAGCAGCTGGGGCGGCGCGGTCGGCTGTGCGCTGCTGGAGGCGGGGCTGCGCCCCTGCCGGGTGGTCCTGCTGGCGCCCGCGCTGGACGTCTGCGGGCCCGCGCGGGCGATCTGGCCCGACTTCACGCCCAGGGGCTTCCTGGAGGAGCAGACGAGCCTGGCGGTCCGCAGGGGGGGGGGGGCCTGAGATCGGCAAGACGAAAAAAGAGTGACCCTTCGCGGGAGTGGCCCGTCGGTGCGGCGGGCGCCTCGGGCCCCCCCCCCGCGATCGCGGAGCGCGGTGCGACGGCAGCGGCTTGGGCGCTTGGGTTTGGCCCCCCCGCGCGCCCCCCCGAAAAGCCACGCGCAAAAGGTCACTCTTAACCCAGGGTCGCTCTTGCGTCTAGCCGATGAGATCCTGGCGCTGCATTCTTTCGGCGCCACCCAGCCATACTGATACTAGGTTCGCGTCGCGTCCAAGGGGGCGACGCGCGCGCCTAGAAATCTTATAGTCTGTATACGCCGTGGCGGGCGATTTCTGGCCGTACCGCTCGGGAAACGACAGACTGCAAACTGTTCGTATTCTATGATCTGGTCGCACGCACGCCCCCGAGGAGGACACACACGTGGTATGCTCTTAAGTGCGTCCATGCTTGCCACAGCCGGCGCTGTCGCCCCGTCTCGGGCCCCGGGGCCATCGCAGATCGATGCGGCGCGGCAGAGGCAGCAAGCCGATACGGTCTCTACAGGGCTCTGGTCGAGATTGTCTCGCGATGCCGCCACTTCTTCGCAAGGCTGGATTGCAGGGAGTGGGCGGGGCTGGCGAGGCTTCGGGCTGCGCACAGGCAGCCCCGCCCCGAGGCAGCCCCAGCTGACCTCACCAGGGCCCCCCGAGGAGGGCGGCTGAAACACGCCTTAAAGGCGCCTCTGGCGTAGCCCCTGGGGCGCTCCGCACCGCAGGGTTTGGGTGTTGAGACCGCCCTGGGCTACAGTCAACCATGATCGCAAGGATGGGGCAGCTTCCCAGGGCTACCCTTTGCATCCTTGCCCCTTCGGTATTCGGCATCCTTCGGCGTCCTGCTGCGCTCCGCACAGAAAGCGTCGACACGGCGTTCCAGGGCCCTCTTGCATCCTTACCGCGCATCCTTACCAGCCTGGTCGAGTGTATTCGGGGGGGGGGCCTGCTGAGGCCAGCCGGGACTGCCTGGGCTGGCTGGCCGTGCGCAGCCCGGAGCCTTCCCGGGCGGGCCACACGTGTTCATCGATGATCGGCGGCCTTGCAGCCTCAGGATGTGCTCTCCAGCAGCTGCGCCCCGCCATGCGCGTTATGGGGAGGAGGAGGAGGAGGAGGAGGAGGAGGAGGAGGAGGAGGAGGAGGAGGAGGAGCAGGAGGAGGAGAAGGAGGAGGAGGAGGAGGAGGAGGAGGAGGAGGAGGCGGACCCGAATCATGACCCGAGAGGCAGTCGCGCGAGGGGGGTAGCCTTCTGAGAAGGCACGGGGGCCTCGAAGACGGCGGCCTGAAGCATGGTGGGTAATTTTATGGAAAGAGCTTCCAGGTTGAGCCCTATGCCTCGGAGCCCCCTTCTCTGAAGTGCAGATGCGGCACGCTTTTTCAGCATCGGAGGGGGGCTCTCCAGTCTGCCCCAAGTCCGCTCAAAATGTCTCCCCGTACCCCGCCCCCGACGACGACGACGACGACGACGACGACGACGAGGAGGACGAGGACGACGAGGACGAGGACGAGGACGAGGACGAGGACGAGGACGAGGACGAGGACGAGGACGTAGGCCCGCCGCCCGCCGCGCCCACGCCCCCTCTCGAGCAGTGGCGAAGCGTCCTGGCCAGGCCGCCCACCAGAGAATGCTCTCGGAGCCGGCTGCGGTCTGCACGGAATGTCCGCAGAGCGTCTCTGGCCCAGGCCGCCTTGTCGTGACTCGTCGGGCTGCCGTTCTCAGAGCACCGTTGTGGTTCCAGAGCATGCTCGGGGTCTAAGAACACGTCGTGGTAGGCTCACTGGGAATGCCAGGACGGTCCGTCCCCGCTCGACGGCGTCGGCCACGCCCCCTCCGGTGCCGCCGCCGGCGAATCATGGGCCGCGACCAGGTGAAGACTCAGAGGAGGAGAGAGGTACGGTCGGACCGAGGTATAGGGCTGAGGTCGGTTCGGGGAGGGCGCCCTGGTGCTCTCCGTGCTTGTTGGACGTTCTCGTGCATCCTGGGGAGGGTTACCCTTGGATGTTCCGTGTGTTTCGGCTGGCGGAGGGTCTCGTGTTTTTGGAGGATGTTCTTCTGTCCCAGGTCTGACCGTACTCTAGGTTCGCGTCGTGTCGACTGGCGGCGACCCTGGTAGCGTTGAACGCCGCTGGCAACCCAGAATCGGTCGATGGTGAACGCTGTGACGTCTCGGAAACAGCCGATCGTTTAAGATTGAGCGGTTCCCGCGGTATCAGAAACCGACGCCGAAGTCGGCACGGCACGAACGTGCGGCACCGATACCGCAGGCGGCGGTGCCGAGGCGGCGGTGCACCGAGCTGCTAGTCCTCCACGGGGACGGCGACACGACGGTGCCGGTGGCCGGCACCGTGTGACCTCTCCCCACCCCGAAGTCCAGGTGCTGCAATTTTGTCACACCTGGTTTTGTCGCTTTACCCTGATCATCGGATACAGGAAATTTCCGGTCGCGACCCACGAGATCGGTCGCTACCGAGGTTACTTCAATCTCGGCATCGGTAGCGAACGATTTGCTTCAGAATCGGTCGCGACCGATCGGTGGCGATCGGTCGCGACCGAATGCAGGATCGGTCGCGATCGGACGCGAAACAAGTCTGCATCCAATGATCTGGGTCTCCCCTACCCATTCACGAAGTGGTCCTCTATGCTGCCTAATAAAAAATAATCTGGGTCTCCCCACCAGGGAAATCCAGGTGCTGCAATTCTGTCACACCCGGTGTGGTCGCCCGCTGTCAGGCCCCGGGTGCGGGGCCGTCACAGATGGACTTGGCTCGAAGACCGTTGCAGGAAGGCTGGGTCGAGGGCTCCGGTCGTGAGGTTCCGCGCCGTTGCAAGTGTTCCCAACGTTGGGTCTCAGGGCATGAGGCTGTTTTTTGAATGGCCTCGCGCAAGGTCACCTGCAGAGCACCCTCCTCATCCGACGCCTTTTCAAGCAGCGCTGGACCGAGAGGGCGTGCAAGTCGGTCTCGACTTGCGTGGAGTCTGGATGTCCTCTCGGCCCTTGCCACGCCCCCCGTCCTCCATGCAAACAAACTTGCAGAAATCAAACAATGAAAACGGTCTTCTCAGCCCCACCCGCCCGCAGTGGGGATAGGCCCCGTGAAGTCCGAAGGGAACAGCCGAGAAGTGTCCCCAGTCCCCCGACGTCATGATACTTCACAGCGTCGACACCCGGAGGGCTCGACCAATTCCCAGGGGCCGTCTTTTTGTCCTGAGTCGATCTCTGAGGGTCTGGGGCCTGGCGAGGGCACCTCGTTACCGAAAATAGCAGAAACGGTCCGTCACGATTGTATGCAGGCCGCGAGGGGGCCTGGGTAGATCCCCACCCAGGGGCCGATTCGGCCAGTGGGCCAGCGGGGCCAAGGCCATGCCAGTGGGGATTGGGATCCCCATCCTCACGGGCGATCATGCAAGCGCGGATCCGACTGCCTGCCCCAGGGTGGCTGGCGGCCTCGGAGCCATAAGAATAGCCACGCTCGGAAAGGGCAGGTGGGTGTTGCGACAAGGAGAGCATGATTGATGACGGTGGAGGCTTGCCCTCAATGAGTCTTGCTTGGCCGACCGGTCGGAGCATCGTTTCACCGAGCGATCGGGGTTAAGCAATGCCCGGGTCGATCGGTCAAACGGAATCCGAGCCTTACCCTCGCCGATCAACCATGCAGGCAGCTCGATGCTCGGCGGGAGTAGGGTCCCAAATTCGCCGAACGCGTGGCGAAATCCGAACTCTGCCCCCGGCCCCTCATCGATCATGCCTCCAAACGGGTTCCGAGTAGACGAGGTCGGAGCATCCCGCCGCATCGCCGATGCATCGGCGATGCGGATCGGTGCGGGGCTCGATCTTCTCCACGCCGACGTCGCCGATTGCACCGACGAGGCTTCCTTTGCATCCCCGCTGCATCGGCGATGTACCGGCGATGTATCGGCGATGCGGTACGATCCTCCGACCTAATCTACTCAGTTCCTACTTGGGAGGCAGTCGAGTGGTCGGTGGGGGTGGGGCTCGGACGTCGTCATCGAGAAGGGGGGCCCATGGGGGCTCCCCGCCCGGACGCCCGCGGCCGGGGCGGGCTGGGATCCTGGCGCGGCCATCCTTGCGCAGCGCGCGTCTGATCTCCGGTCGGGCGTGTCCTCCAACAGGCGGGTTTTGGACGACAAATGAAAAGTAGTAGGAACAAGAGTGTCCCCCAAAATAGTCAAAAACATAAGAGTAAAGCCGTCCCCATACATGTTTCAACTATTTTTGAATATCCCCCCTGTAGCGGGCCACGCCCGACTCAGAGTCGGATCCTGGCTCCGGGCCCCGGGCCACGGCGTGTCGATCACGGCGCGGCTCGAGGGGGCCCTTCCCGCGCCGCCGTGCGCGGCCGTGCGCCCGCAGGCGTCCGGCGAGGAGCTTGGGCTTGTCGTGCTTCTTGGCATCGCTCGGACGTGTGCATTTTTCTTTCGGCGAGGACCATCGAGGAGCATCCTTGATCATTTGGCGAAAGAACCACGCACGAAACCCAAAAAAACTCAGGGAATGGACGTCCGAGCGATGGCCAGGCTTCCCTTCTCGGGGAAGACCTGCCGGCGGAAGCGGCCCTGGAAGCGCCAGCCGATCTGTGCGAGGGCCTCGTGTCGGATATAGCCAGGACCCCGGGTAAGGGGACCCGGTTCGTGGCAGGGCCCTGGGGCCCCCCAATTGGCGAGGTTCACTGAACCAGGTTTGCCGTAATGGTTGTTATTCGGGTGACGGCAGTTCCAGTTAGTGGAAATGGGACAGGGGGCGCCCCCGGTACAAATCACTAAACCAGGTTCCACTAAACCCAGTTCTGCCAACGCCCGATAGTGCATGAGGTCTGGCCCGAAGGATGCAGCAGGACGACGGGTCTATGGCTCTGGTCGTGATGTCCTGCGATGCTGCCTTTTTTTCCGCGGCGCACGCATCAGCGGGCAGAGTTTGTTTCCACATCCAGTGCGTTTTGAAGTTTCGGGCTCCCTTCCCCAGAAGCCCGAGGCGCCCTGGATGTGGATACGAGTCTGACCCCTAGAGGCTAGAGTTTCATCCGTATCCACTGCGCCTCCTCCTTTCGGCGCCCCTTCCAAGAAGGTCCAAGACGCAGTGGATTTGGATATCAGAGTGAGGTGACCGAACGGTCTTATACCATCCCTGGGTTCGCGGGTGAAGTGGGGATCCGCGGCCAGGATTCTGCTTACCGTTGTTTGAGCCTGGCAGAGGTGAAATTCTGTGTCCTCCGCTGACTGACCGATTGAATTGACTGAATCGGAGGGGCGCTTTTGACAACATAATTCATACCGCTCGCGGGCGCACCTGCAACCGCAACCTGGCGACACAATTCAACCCGCCCACGTGCGAAACCGCAACCGCAACCAGGCGACGCATTTCAAACCGCTCGCGGGCGCAACCGCAACCGCAACCAGGCGACACAATTTCACCCGCCAGCGGTCGTAACCGCAACCGCAGTTAGGCGACTCACTTCATCCCGCCCGTTGGCGCAAACGCAACCGCAATCAGGCGACACAATTCAAACCCGCCTACGGGCGCAACCGCAACTACTACCAGGCGACGCATTTCAACCCGACCGCGGGCGCAACCGCTACGGCAACCAGGCGACACACCTCAGCCCGCTCGCGGGCGCAACCGCAACCGCAACCAGGCGACACATTTCAACCCGCCCGCGGGTGCAACCGCATTCGCAACCAGGCGACATATTTCAAGCCGCCCGCGGGCACCACCGCAACCGCAACCAGGCGACACATGTCAACACGCCCGCGGGCACTACCGCAACCGCAATCAGGCGACACATTTTAACCCGCTTGAGGGACCGCAACCGCCCGAGGAGCAGGAGGTTCAGGAGCACGAGGACGAGGAAGAGGGAGAGGAAGAGGAGGACGAGAGGGATCGGTAAGATGAGGATTGGCAGGACGGCGAGCATGAAGAGGAGGACGACGACGATGAGGAGGGTGATGCAGGGGTGGTCGTGTTTCAGGGGGTTGCAGATGCAGGTGCAGGTGTTGGTGGAGGAGGACGCCTAATGGCACGATAGGAAGATGAGGCGGTGGAGGAGGCCGATGGGGATGTCGAAGAGGGGGAGGAGGAGGAGGAGGAGGAGGAGGAGGAGGAGGAAGAGGAGGAGGAGGAGGACGCGTTGCCCACGGCTCTCCGCCTGGACATTGCAGCCTGGCATCTCCATTTCACCCTGCTGACTCTGATTGTTTGTTGTTGTGGCTCCTGTTGTTGTCGTCCTCGTTCGCGACCCTCCCGCGACGCATCCCACGATCCCCCCGCGACCCGCCCGCGACCCACCCTCGACACACCCCGCGCCCGCACCCCCACTCTGATCCGCAACTGCGGGGTGCTACAGTATAGTAAATTTGGCCCGCAGCGTCGGCCAACTTAGCCTTCTCGATACGCCCGTTTCGAAACGCAGCACGCACTGTTCTCATCACGTACGTGTCCAGACGTTGCGTGTTGGCTCAGCTTGTTTGGCCCACGCTTTTGGCGAACGCACTGCGCCATACCCACGCTTTAAGACTACGTGTTGAGTTCCGTATCAATGCGTTGCGTGTTGCGTGTTGCGCATCGGGGCAGCTGCGTACAGACCCTCTTGCGCGCAGCAGTGGCCAAACGTCAGGAGGGGAAAAAGAAACACACAGACACAATTCGTGGGAAGTGGGGGGAACATATGGGAAGTGGGGGGAAGCCAAAAGCCCAGAACACGTGGGAACAGATGGGAAACCCTGTTATTTGTGTGTCTGGTTCTTTGTGTGTCACCGGGCCCCTCCAAAACGACGTGCCCAGGTCGAGGCGAGCCGGGCGCTGGCGCGCCAGTTCGGCGCGCGGCTCCCCGCTGCCGGCGGGGCGGCCTCGGCGAGGCCCGCGGAGGGCGGCGCCAGCGCCGCGGCCGCGGGCGGCAGCGTCGCCGGCGCAGGCGCCGAGGACGGCGGCGCCCTGGACTGGTGCTCGGAGTCAAGCAGTGGCGAAGCGTCCTGGCTCGCCTATAGGCCCACCGATCAATGTTCTAAGAACCATTTGTGGTTTGCACGGAATGTTTTTAGAACAATTCTGGCTGGGGCTGTCTAAGAGCATTGTGTTGTTCTAAGAGTCTTGTATTAGTTCTTCGAACATGTTTGGGTTCGAAGAACATGTCGTGGTAGGCCTAAAGGAATGCCGGGGCGGTCGGTCCCTGCTCAAAAACTACCCTGTGACGTACCCAACCCATTTGTATCATGGGAAACGAGGAGTTGGCCGAAACTTGCACGGACAATCAAATTGCAGGATCCGTTGTTTGATATGTAAGCTACTTGGGACACGCGCCAATGGCATGATGCGCAGGAGAACCATACAAGAACGAGGGGCGACAACTACAGGCTCGAAGAGGACATGGGGAGTCGGGAACGAAGAGCAGGGGAAAGACGTGCGGGAAGCCCAGTGTGCTGTGCCCCTCAGCAGGCTTCGAAAGTGGCGACAGTTTCACAGATCGCAGCCCCCCAAGGATGGCGAGGTCTAATCTGAGTCTGCGGTGAGTACCCACTGTGCTGGGCCCCCCAGCAGGCCTCGAAAGTGGCGACAGTTTCACAGATCGCAGCCTCCCAGGGATGGCGAGGTTCATGTGAATCCGCCGTGGGTGCCCACTGTGCTGGGCACCCCAGCAGGCCTCGAAAGTGGCGACAGTTTCACAGATCGCAACCCCCCCAAGGATGGCGAGGTCTCATTTGATCCGCCCTGGGTACCCGCTGTGCTGGGCCCCCCAGCAGGCTTCGAAAGTGTCGACAGTTTCGCAGATCGCAGCCCCCCAGGGATGGCGAGGTCCCATTTGAATCCGCCGTGGGTACCCAGTGTGCTGGGCCCCCCAGCAGGCCTCGAAAGGGGCGACAGTTTCAAAGATCGCAGCCCCCCAGGGATGGCGAGGTCCCATGTGAGTCCGCCGTGGGTACCCACTGTGCTGGGCCCCCCAGCAGGCTTCGAAAGTGGCGACAACTTCGCAGATCGCAGCCCCCCAGGGATGGCGAGGTCCCATTTGAGTCCGCCGTGGGTACCCACTGTGCTGGGCCCCCCAGCAGGCCTCGAAAGTGGCGACAGTTTCACAGATCGCAGCCCCCCAGGGATGGCGAGGTCCCATTTGAATCCGCCGTGGGTGCCCACTGTGCTGGGCCCCCCAGCAGCCCTCGAAAGTGGCGACAGTTTCACAGATCGCAGCCCCCCAGGGATGGCGAGGTCCCATTTGAGTCCGCCGCGGGTACCCACTGTGCTGGGCCCCCCAGCAGGCCTCGAAAGTGGCGACAGTTTCACAGATCGCAGCCCCCCAGGGATGGCGAGGTCCCATTTGAGTCCGCCGCGGGTGCCCACTGTGCTGGGCCCCCCAGCAGGCCTCGAAAGTGGCGACAGTTTCACAGATCGCAGCCCCCCAGGGATGGCGAGGTCCATTTGAATCCGCCGTGGCGTCACTGTGCTGGGCCCCCCAGCAGGCCTCGAAAGTGGCGACAGTTTCACAGATCGCAGCCCCCCCAGGGATGGCGAGGTCCCATTTGAGTCCGCCGCGGGTGCACACTCTGCTGGGCCCCCCAGCAGGCCTCGAAAGTGGCGACACCTTCACAGATCGCAGCCCCCCAGTGATGGCGAGGTCCCATTTGAGTCCGCCGCGGGTGCAGACTGTGCTGGGCCCCCCAGCAGGCCTTGAAAGTGGCGACATTTGGCAGATCGCAGCCCCCCAAGGATGGCGAGGTCCCATTTGAGTCCGCCGCGGGTGCAGACTGTGCTGGGTCCCCCAGCAGCCGTCGAAAGTGGTAGTAGCACTTTCGCAGATCGCAGCCCCCCAGAGATGGCGAGGTTCCATTTGAGTCCGCCGCGGGTGCAGACTGTGCTGGGCCCCCCAGCAGGCCTCGAAAGTGGCGACAGTTTCAAAGATCGCAGCCCCCCAGGGATGGCGAGGTCCCATTTGAGTCCGCCGCGGGTGCAGAGTGTGCTGGGCCCCCCAGCAGGCCTCGAAAGTGGCGACATTTCGCAGATCGCAGCCCCCCAGGGATGGCGAGGTCCCATTTGAGTCCGCCGCGGGTGCAGACTGTGCTGGGCCCCCCAGCAGGCCTCGAAAGTGGTAGTAGCACTTTCGCAGATCGCAGCCCCCCAGAGATGGCGAGGTTCCATTTGAGTCCGCCGCGGGTGCAGACTGTGCTGGGCCCCCCAGCAGGCCTCGAAAGTGGCGACAGTTTCACAGATCGCAGCCCCCAGCAGCCCTCGAAATGCAGCGACGAACCAGGGAAAAGGCAGGGGGTAAGAAAGGGGCGGGAAGGAAGGAAGGAAGGAAGGAAGGTTCGCGCGAGCAGTGCTCTATTCAAAACGAGAACCCAACGCAGGAGGGTTGGGAACAACCCCGACCCAACCCGAAGGCCTCAATTCGCCCTCCATTTCTAGTGGGGGGGGTTGGGGAGCATTGAGAAAACACACATGGAACCCGTACCCCCCCTCAACCCGAAATTCGGGTCTTCCGGTTGAGCATTGGGTGCTGGAGCTTTCCCGTCGCGGCCGACGAGAGGGGCCGCTACCGATTTGTTGCTTCACATTCTTGGTATCGGTCGCGACCGAGTTGCTTCAGAGTCGGTCGCGGCCGATCGGTCGCGACCGATCGGTCGCGATCGGCGGCGACCGGTCGCGACCGATTTTCGCATCGGTCGCGACCGGTCGCGTCCGATGTGGAGTGCCCATCGGTCGCTATACCGACCGCGACCGAAAAACGTCTGCATCCAACGAGCTGGGAAGGTGAGGACATCGAGAACATCGAAGACGAAATCGAAGAGCAAGTCAGGAGGAACGTCAGAGGAGCAAGAGTCGACGGCCAGCCCGGGAGGGAGGCGAGAGGTTGTGGGGCCCTCTTCGAAGGCCCTGGGGGTTCTGAGAGGTCCCGCCGCTTTATCTGGGTTTGTGCTCGGAGGAGGGCACCAAAGAAGAGAACACGGCATAAACATGACTGTTGGGCCTCCGTGCGAATTTCTCGGATCGGCGCTGGGCCTCCCTGGCGGCGCCTCTGGCGCCGCCCCTGGCGCGCTCCGCGCGCCAAGGTGGGGGATCCAGCGCCGATCCCAAAACATCCGCGCGGTGCTCCAACAGTTTGTGTGTATGCAGGCTTTCTCCCTCTAGGGAAGTCAGAGGAGCAAGAGGTCATGACCCAGACCCTCTCGGGTCATGAAAGCATCATGGTGGGGTTTTGTAGATTTGTTCTACCTCTTGAGGCCCTCGTGACCGTCAACAAAGGATTAAGGATGAATCATCTGTCCCGGGGCGTGGATCGAAGATCTCCCTGCCAGTGTGTTTGTTTGCCCCTCCACCCCATGGCGAAGCAGGATAATCAACAAACAGAAAAGCTGTAGGACAAATCTAGGAGGCATGGTTTTGTTTTAGTGGTTTCTTCCGTGGGTGGTTGGGCGCAGCAACAAAAGTAGTGCTTCTGATGTTGCGCTGCCCCGCAAGACAGTACTTGCAACGATGCCTGATTCCGGGGGAAGAACAGAGTTCTACAGCGTGGAACACCCCGTAGACACATCGGTCAGATGAGCAAGAGGTCATGATAGTGGTCCGCCACACTATGTCCAAGCTTTGCTGGATTGCTCAATGTTGCGCACGGGCTGCGGAACCGACGGCCGGTGGGTGCTCCAAAGATCCTCGAACTTATCCTTCATAGTCGTCGTCTCCTGATCACAAGAAGTCTCGTTGACCAATTTAAGGAACAGAACAAACAAAGCGATGGAGCAGGCACAACAAACAGGAATAACACGCACAACAGAGAGTGCTACCACAAGTGACACTAAACATGATGATTCACGTTTTCCTACGAAGAGACAACAGAGTCTGCGCCGACAAATAGTGCAACAACAAGTGCCCCTCCAAGAAACACAACTGGGCATATCTATTTGTTGCACACTTTGTTTTTGTGGGTTCGTGTTTTGGTTTCGCTTCTTGGTTGTGGTTTCTGCTTCAGGGGATCCCAGTCGTGACATCCTGAGCAAATCGCATCATGACACCACTCGTCCTAGAAGCGATGCGGATACAGCTGCTCGTCCTGGAGATCGCTTGGCGCCACGGCTGGATCATCCTCGAGATTCTGGTCAGAAGTCACCCCGGGAGAGTTCCGGGGAGTGGCTGTATGCATACAGTCAACCCGCATAGTAAGGATGGGCAACCTTCCCAAGGGTGCCCTTGCATCTTTGCCCCCTCGGTCCATCTTTGGCCACTTTCGTTGGCCGCGCCCCGCTCGAAAAGCTTCGAAATGGGCGTCCAAGGCCCTTGCATCCCTATCGCGCATGCTTTTGATACGGGCCGACTGTAACCTTTTGTCTCACCAGGTGCCTCTCCCGGCGCCGTGCCGGGAGAGACGATGACGCCCGCGAGGACGTCGCGGACAACGCCAGCTGGTTCCGGTACGAGGAGATCGCGGGCGGGGACCACAGGCTGAATGCCGCGCTGATCGACACGGGGAGGCTGGCGCAGGTGCTCGCCGAGTGAGCGGCATCGCCGAGACGCGCGCGCTGGCAGAAGCCAGGAGGGCGGGGGAAGCAGGAGGGATCGACGGGAGGAAGAGGCGGAGGGGGAGGAGGAGGCGGAGGAGGAGGACGAGGAGGAGGAGGAGGAGGAGGAGGAGGAGGAGGAGTAGGAGGAGGGAGAAGGAAGAAGAGGAGGAGGAGGAGGAGAAGGAGGAGCAGGAGGAGGATGATGAGGAGGAGGAGGAGGAAGAGAGGAGGAGGAGGAGAGAAGGGAGGAGGAGGAGGAGGAGGAGGAGGCGGAGGAGGAGGAGGAGGCGGAGGGAGGAGGAGGAGGAGGTGGAGGAGGAGGAGGAAGAAGGAGAAGGAAGAAGACGACGAGGAGGAGGAGGAGAGAGGAGGAAGGAGGAAGGGAGGAGGAGGAGGAGGGGAGGAGGAGGAGGAGGAGGAGGAGGAGGAGGAGGAGGAAGACGTCGGCGGCGACGACAACGGCGAAGAGACCGCGAGGGCGACGGCGGCCACGGCGGCGAGGCCCCCGGCAGAGTGCGGCCGCGGCAGCGTGCGCAGAGCCTGGGCAGAGTGCGGCAGAGGGCGCCCCGGCGCCCCAGTGCCCGAGGCCCTCTTCAGCAGCCCGCTCCTCCCTGGCCCGAGCGGGGTCCCGCCAGTTCTGCCTCTGGGCGCCCATCCTCATCCTCATCTTCCCCTCCTCTTCCTCCTCTTTCTCCTCCCCCTCCTCCCCCTCCTCCTCCTCCTCCTCCTCCTCCTCCTCCTCCTCCTCCTCCTCCGCCAGGCGATCTTCTCGACGTCCTCATCTTCCTAGATCCTTGGGTACCGATGTTGTTTATTCGCGATCGGTGGCGACCGCTCGGCACTCCAAATCGGTCGCGACTGGTCGCGAGTGATTTGAACATGCGCTGCGGCCAGTCGCCACCCCGATCGCGACCGATCGGCCGCGACCGATACCAACGTTTGGAACATTCCAGCATGCAGTGATCAGGGAACGCACTGAATGAAGCAGCGGAGAGATCTTTGGTGATGTTTGGCCTCCCCAGGCCTCGAAAGGCTTGCGCAGACGAGGAGGAGGAGGAGGAGGAGGAGGAGGAGGAGGAGGAGGAGGAGGAGGAAGAGGAGCAGGGGAGACAGGGACGAGGGAGGCGGGGAGCGGAGGGGGAGGGAGGCAGCTCCTGGGAGATATTCGTGGGACTGATACAGGCGAATTCTCAATCCCTGTATCAAGATGATGGGATACCGCTTTTTTTCGGCCGCGATCGGTAGCGACCGATCGGCACTCCAAATCGGTCGCGACCGATTTGGACGCGAATCGGTCGCCACCGATACCGAAATCTGAAGCAGAATCGGTGGCGACCGTTCCCGACTGGACAAATCCAGCATCCAATGATCAGGGGGGGGGAAGCGAGCAGGAGCAGGCCTGCTCAGAAGGCGGCGTGGCTTCTCAGACGCCCTGGGCGCCGTCTGAGCATTGTTCGGCGTCTTCGGGGAAGGCTTAGAACACTTCTCAGCAGGCTGGAGGCCTTCCGACCCTTCCGCTGAGAAGGCCCGCCCCCTCTCGCTTTCCCCCGCGGGTGCGCCGCCTCTGGCGACGCTGCCCTCCGCCCAGGGCCCAGCCATCAGGGCAGGCTCCGGCTAAGGGTGGCCACCCTTCGCCGGAGTGCTGGCTCGCGGCTCTCGGGGGGCGCGTGGGCGGGGAGGCTTTCTGGCAGGTCTCCGGATCGGTGTTCTCGGTGGTCTGGCGGTTTACCTGCCGCAAGGTGCGTGTCTGCAGCTGCGCCTCGCCGAGAGCGTTCCAGGGGTGCCCAGATCGTCCCGAGCTTCGATTCACCCCAGAATGGATTCCCTCGTCGGATCTACGGGAAAATGCCTCGAGTTCTCCGCAGCTGTCCGACACTTCTGCGCACTCGTCGTAGGATTCGGCGGGGAGGACCAAGCCTGGGTCGGAACCTGGAACACATACATTACCAGTGGCGGGCTCGGGGTCGGGGACGACGTCGGGGTGGTGTGGTGTATACTTTTCTTCATTTCCCCAGGGAAGCAACGAAACTTGTATAGGCCAGGACCCCCTGTACACCAGGATCCGCTTTCCTGTGCGAGATCCAGTGTGAGGCCAGACAAAGGCGTCGGTGTGTAGAGTTCGATTCCCTACTGGGGTCAAACCGGATCGGCTCCGCGTGACACGTGACGAAGGCCACGCGCGACTGCAGCTGGATCGAGGTGAGCCTGGGCGAACAAAGCGCCCGCGCAGGGTTCGTTTCGATCCTGTCTGTCGGCAGGGTATCATCGATTCTGGCAGGCTCGGTCGGGGTCGATCTCGATACTTCCGACGGGCCAACGCGGCCCGATGTCTGCCCCGTGGAGCCGATCCGTCGATCCTCCACTCGAGAGCCGCCGCTGGAGCAGCGAGCCCCGGCCCGGGAGACGCCGAGCGGCCCTGCGCCCGGGAGAGGGCCGGGCGCGCAGGCCGCGGATCGGTCGCACCGCACGCCACGGCCGGGAGGCCTCGCACACCGAGGGCCGCCCTGGGCACGGGGTCGCTCTTGTGCTCCTCCTCCTCCTCCTCCTCCGCCTCCTCCTCCGCCTCCTCCGCCTCCTCCTCCCCCCCTCCTCCTCCTCCTCCTCCTCTCCTCCTCCCTCCTCCTCCTCCTCCTCCTCCTCCTCCCTCCTCTCTCCTCCTCCTCCTCCTCCTCCTCCTCCTCCCCCTCCTCCGCCTCCTCCTCCTCCCCCGCCTCATCCTCCTCCTCTTCCTCCTCCTCCTCCTCCTCCTCCTCCTCCTCCTCCTCCTCCTCCTCCTCCCCCTCCTCCTCCTCTTGTGCGCGGGTGTGCTGCTGGACTTCCGCGAGCGATGCATCGGTTGCAGCTCAATGCAGTAGACTTCCCCATCCCCTCATTCTTCTGGAACTTCCACCCTACCTTTCCGTACCTTTTTCGATCTGAAATACGTGTTTTCCGTTGAAATTCGTAAGGTTTCCGTGCGTGTCGATGGATATTTCCGCACTTTCCGCGGAGGTCTGAAGGCATGGACGGTGGAGGTAGAGGGTCTTTGGCGCAATACTACGTTTGCAATACGATTTCCCCAAACCTTTTGCACCATCCCCTTTCAGCTGGACACCCTGCAGTTGCTTTCACCAACAATTTGGGTGCTGCCGGCTGGATCCGAAAGGTCCCTCGTTTCGTCGCCCCTGTTTCTCCAAGCAGGAGGGAGAACACACACACAGACACACAGACACACAGACACACAGACACACACACACACACACGCACGCACGCACGCACGCACGCACGCACGCACGCACGCACGCACGCACGCACGCACGCACGCACGCACGCACGCACCTACGCACGCACGCACGCACGCACGCACGCACGCACGCACGCACGCACGCACGCACGCACGCACGCACGCACGCACGCACGCACGCACGCACACACACACACACCACTCACTCACTCACTCACTCACACACACACACCCACACCCCACACCCACACACACCCACACACCCACACCCCCACACCCCCACACACCCACACACCCACACACCCACACACCCACACACCCACACACCCACACACCCACACACCCACACACCCACACACCCACACACCCACACACCCACACACCCACACACCCACACACCCACACACCCACACACCAACACACCCACACACCCACACACACACACACACAGAGACACACCGAATCGTCGGCCCCCCCCTGGAACTATGGGGAAACCTTGGAAGTGGGGGGAAAGACGCCAGTCCAGAAAGTCTGGGAAAAACATGGGACTCCTGGGATCTGTGCCTGTTCCTTGCTGTGTCCTTTGGGCCTCCTCCGTGGTCGAAGCCGCCTCGCCGACACCGCGGCGCATTGGCGCGATCGGGAGCCCGTTCGGACCGCCGGCCCGCCGTCGCAGGGTGCATCGGCGGGGCGGTGCGCCCGCCCCTCGGCGCCCCGCCTGTCTGGACTCCTGGCACCGTCCGGGGGGGGCCTCCTCCCTCCCATGTCTTCCTTTTTTAAGTCGGGCATGTCCCTCTGCAGGAGGAATGTTGACAAAAAACAGCCAAATAATCGTCAGAGGACGATTTGTTTGACTATGTTTGGCTATTTTTGCATTGTTGGATAGATGTTGAAGAAACTGTTTGCTCAACAGCCGCCTGCAGGAGGACATGCCCGACCTAAACCTATCGGTGCCTTGGCACCGTCTGGGGGGCCTCCAATCCCCTCCATGCATTCCTGCACGCTCCGCCCGGAGGCACCGGCAAGACGCTTCTGGCCCGCAGCCTCGCGGAGGAAATGAGATGCCCCGTGGAGCTCTGCTCGTCGACGGACCTCGTCGGCTCGGGCATCGGCGAATCCGAGGAGCCCTTCCTAGGGGTGAGCGGACGGGCCCGCTGATGGGGCACATCGAGTCGAGGGTCACGGGGGTTCGCGGATGGAGGCTCGAGGCGGCGACACCTCCGATTCTGAGGTCTGCGGGCGTTCCTGGAGGTCCTGGCCGCCGCGGCTGGACGCAGGTCGAACAATTTGCCAGGTTGGATCCCAGTAGGGGGTCAGGGATTGGTTTGGATTTATGATGTTCCAACCTACTGTAGCCTTGTTTACCAGAAAGAATTTCTAGCCCCCCAAAAATCCGAAACTCGAGGGTTTTCACGTGTCGGGCCCTGGGAGACTCGTCCGACAATGTTTCGACACTGTTTCGACACTCTTTCGACGCTCTTTCCGGGTGCTTGAAGTTATCCCTGGGATGTGGTCCTCAAGTACGCTGGGAGCAACATAAGCTTGGATCAGGTTCCCCACCCCCCTCTCCAAGGGGTGGCTTTCCGTCCCGGATCCATCGTCGAGCTACGCTTGTCCGGGGGCCCTCGTGCTGTTGAGGCCGAGATTTTTGGAGGAAGATCTGTTTGGGGCGTCCAAGACTGGGGGTGGCGACTGAAGGGGGGGGGGGCGACGTCCTTGCTGGGGCCGAAATCACCCAAGTTTAGCCAGGCGTCATGCTGCCCCCCTTCTTCGTTCGATTCGTCCCCTGGTCCCCCCCTCGTCCGCGCACATGGCGCCCGCCATGATTTAGACGTCCCCCTCTTGGACTACGCCGAGACTGCTGGACTGAAAAGCCATACGCTCGAAATCCAAAGCCAGGATGGGCAACCTTTCCAGGGGTACCCTTGGCATCCTCAAACCACACTCGATGGCCAGCCCTCTCGAAAAGCTTCGACTTGGGCGTCCCAGGGGCTTGCATCCTTACTGTACGTCCTCCCTAATTGGTCGGGCGTGTCCCTCCTACAGGAGGAGTATGAACAAATAATCAAAACATAGTTTGGGGCCAATTTCGACTATTTTTTGAATATTTTTGGACTACGTTTGTTTGTAAGTTTCCGCCCGAAATCCGCCAGTAGGGGGACACGCCCGACCTAACTGTACCGTCGGAGATCAGGGTTTCCGACTCTGGTTCGAGCCCGGGGACCACATCTGCTCCCAGGAGCGGATCAAGGCCGCGTTCGACCGCTGCCGGAGGCAGGCGGAGGCGCGCGGGACCGGCGCCCTGCTGTTCATCGACGAGATCGATGCGGTCTGCCTTGCGCTCAGTCTGCCCGGCGCGTGCGTTCCAGAGCCCCCCCAGGCTTTTGCCTGGTTCTCGCCTCCGGGGGCCCCTGCCAGGCCCCGGGGCCGCGACAAAAGCTATCTAGGATCAGAAGCCGGCCCAGGTCCCTGGGGAGCCCGGGGAAAGGGTCCAAACCTCAGCTGCCCGGATGCGCCCGTGCTGAAACGCAACACGTGCCGGGTTCAAATCGTCCCTGCTGACACGCTGCGTGTTGGCTCGGCACGCGTGTTTTTCCCGCGCTCGTCGAGCGATGTCGCGCCCGACCTACGTGTTGAGTCTACGTGTCGAGCTCCGAGTCGACACGCTAGGCGTTGCGGGTTGCGTATGGGGGCAGCTAGGGTCCCACCTCTGGGGTTGAGCAAAGCGCGACGTATGAGGTCTGGGCTTCCAGGGCTCGAGCAACAAAAATGGCGGCTCCTCCCTCGGCGGAGCGCGGCGCGGAAGGGCGGCGCGGAGGGCGGCGGACGTAGAACGGGAGGGGCTCCGCTGGCCGAAGCCGAGGGTTCTACTGTCGTCCAACTCATGTGGCTCGATGCTTCCATCCGTCGAAGAAGAAAAACGCCATGAACACAAACTATTGGCGCCCCGTGCGGATTTCTTGGATCCGCGCTGTGGCCCTCCAGCGGCGCCTCCGGCGCCGCCCCTGGCGCGCTCCGCGCGCCAGGGAGGGAGGTCCAGCGCAGATCCAAAGTTTGTGTTTATGTCATCTTTCTTCTGATTTGGCCACGCGCAGAGGGTGGACCATGCCAATTCGAGGGTGCCCTTGTGTCCTGTCTGTCCCGACCTCTGCAACCCAGCAAGGCCGAGATCGGATCCCAGAGAGCCTTGCCGTCTGACCAACCAGAACAACCGAACTTGCCAGACTAACCGGACCCAGTGGAGCAACCACGTCAGGCCAAGCAGACAAACCAACCAGACTTACCAGATATGAGAACAGGCAGCTCACACCAACCATGCCGAGCAGATCAGCCAGACGAACTAGACCAAAGCAAGCCGAGCCAGACCAACCGAACCAGCCGGACGTTTCAGACCAGGCCAACCAGACCAACCAGGTGATCTACTCGACCAACCAGACCAGACCAGCCAAACCAGACCAGTCCAGTCAAGACAAGCCAGACGAGTCCGACCAACCAGGCCAACCGAACCAGACCGACAATGCCGCCCAGACAGACCAGACCAACCAGACCAATCCAACCATACCAACCAGAGGAACGCTCCCGCGACTTATATTCCCATGCGAGCAAAGATCAGCAAGGATTACCAGCGAAGTAGATCAAACACGGCGAAACACGATCATGCAAACAGCTTGAGCCAAGCAGGCCAGCAGGATCAGCAGGTCAAGCCAGCGAAGTAGAGCAGCTCAGCCCGCCGTCAGCACGAGAACCACCCAGACCAATCAGCCTAGCCAGACCAACCCGACTAGCCAGATCAACGCCTGGCCAGATCAACACCTAGCAGCGAAACAACGGCACACCGAAGCAGACCACAATTGAGTGTCAACACGACTTGAGCGCACACGAGAGCTGCAAGGAACGACAGCGCAGCGCGGCCGTCGTCGTGGTTGGCGCTGCGCGCTCCGCACCTCCCTGGGCCTTCTCAAACCGCTTGTGGCTTGCACGCAGAACCGTACACACGGTTCATATCTGATTTTTCGAAGGTTCTTTGATTTTTTGGGGGGCCAAGATCCTTTCATTTCTAATTGTTCTGTCCTGGGCCTCTTCCTGGCCGCTAGGGGGCCAGGAACAATGAGAATCGAGCACACTTAGAAATGAGCACGATCAGACATGAACGACGTGTAGGCCTCCTCAGACCGCAGGTGGCTCGCACGCAGAATCGTGAGCACGAGCTCCAGCAGAGGAACAGCGGCACCCCGGGGCAGGCCAGCACGGCACCGTGGCAGCAGAAGCCGATGCCATGGCAGGTGCGGTGCAGCCGCAGTTGCTCTGCCGTCGCCGCGGTTGGCGCCGCGCTTCTCGCGCTTTTCCCTGGACCCCTTCCAAACACATTCTGCTCGCACGCGGGACCGTACACAATCACAAGCTCTAGCCTTAAGTCGGGCCTGTCCCCCTACAGGGGGGATGTTTTCAAACATAGTCAAAACATAGTCAGGGGACGATTTCTTAGTATTTTGGGGCATCTTTTGGGTATTATGCGTATTTTCTATTTTTCGTCCAAAATTCCCCTGTAGGGGGACAGGCCCGACCTAACTCTTGCCTGTAGCAGCGAAACAGCAGCTCCACGAAGCAGACCAAAATTGCAGTGCAAAAAAAAGGCAGTGCAACAGAGACTGCAATGCGACATCAAAAGCACGGCTTTGTTGTCGTACCGTAGTAGTGGTTGGCGCTGCGCGCGCCGCATCCCTCTGGACCTCCGCAAGCCAGATCCGGCTCGCACACGGAATCCGAATCAGAAGTTCCAAGGTCTAGGAGCGAAGCCGCAGCCCTCCGAAAGACCAACGCTGCAGCGCAAGCACGAGCCGCAGCACAGTGTTGCAAGGCCAGGCAAGTCCACGCACTACAGCCAAGACGCTGAAATAAGGAACCGTTCTGGTTGGGAAGGGGCTCGACGTCCCTTTCATTCAGTAGGTCCTTCCATGGCTTCTATCGTTCCTCGTCCACGCAGGCGGGTTCGGGGTCAAAGAAGGGGCTTCGTTCCGTATTTGGCGTTCTTTCTTTCAGCAGCCCGACTGTACAGAAGCCATACAGCACAAGGTGCAGTGCAACAGAAAGCAGTGTTCCCGGGGCCTCGGAGCGCTGCGGTGCGCGGGGGAAACGCATGCGGACACCGCCACCGGGGCCTTCGGTGGAGCTCCTCATGGGGCCACGAAGCGGTGCAGCGGGCGGGGGAAGCGCCTGCGCGTGCAGCCACTGGGGCCTTCGGTGGAGAACCCCATGGGGCCACGGAAAGTTGTGCTGGGTGGGGGAACCGCATGCGGAGCTCCCGATGGTGCCACGAAGCGCTGTAGAGAGCGGGGGAACCGCATGCGCGTGCAGCCACTTGTGCCTTCGGTGGAGCTCCCTATGGGGCCACGGAAAGTTGTGCTGTGTGGGAGGACCGCATGCGAGCGCAGCTATTGGGGCCTTCGGTAGAGTTCCCTATGGGGCCACGAAACGTTGTACTGGGTGAGAGAAACGCATGCGCACACCGCCACTGGGGCCTTCGGTGTAGCTACCTATGTGGCCACGAAGCGCTGCACTTGGCGGGGGAACTGCACGCGAGTGCAGCCACTGGGGCCTCCGGTGGAACTCCCGATGGGGCCACGAAACGCTGTACTGGGTGGGGGTCCCTCCCGCATGCGAGTGCAGCCACTGGGGCTTTCGGTGGAATTCCCAATGAGGCCACAAAGCGCTGTACTGGGCGGGGGTCCCGCTTGCGAGTGCAGCCGCTGGGACCTTCGGTGGAATTCCCAATGGGGCCACGAAGCGCTGCACAGCGTTGGGGAGACGCACGCGCTGATGAGGGCAGATACACGGGAGGGGAGCTGCCCACGAGACGCTGCGCAGAGTGAGGGACCCGCATGCGAGTGCAGCCACTGGGGCCTTCGGTGGAGCTCTCTACGGGGCCACGCAGCGCTGTACAGCGTGGAGATTCCGCATGCTAGAGCAGCCACTGGGGCCTTCGATGGAGCTCCCTAAGTGGCCACGGAGCGCTGTACTGGGTGGGGGAGACGCATACGGATGACGGCAGAGGCAAGGATGGGGAGGAGGACAGGAGAGGAGACGCGGGGAACGTCTGTTCAAAACAAGAACCACCAGGATGGTTGGGAACGCAACACTGCAATGCAGCACAAAACAGTAGCGGTAATGCCGTTTCCTTAACCCAGGTTCAGCTCGCGCGCAGAATCATGATCCTGGTCGTAAGTTCAAGTGTAGCCTCTAGCAGCGAAACGGCGGCTCTTTGAAGCAGGCCAACATTGCATTTCGAATCCAATCTCGATGCAAGAAACCCAAAAGCAACACTTCGTTTCCCGTTTTAATGGGTCGATTATAGCCCCCGTGAGGGGAAGCGGATATGCTGTCAGTAGTTTGTTGCTTTGGTTGCGAAGAACAAACAAGCAACAACGCTTGTTTTGTTGTCGCCGTCGTGGTTGGCGGTGCGCACTTCGAACCTCCCTGGGTGTCCTCAAACCTTGTTCGGCTCGCGTGCAGAACCGTGAGCATCAACTCGGGCACTGGCCACGCAACAGCACACTCCAAAGCTCAAGCTCAAGGCTGAAGCTTCAAGTTCGAGGCTGAAGCCTCAAGTTTGGCGTCTTGCCGTGAGCTACACGGCTAGTACATTTACCATCAACACCATCATCATCAGTAGTATCATCCTACTCATCATCAGCAGCAGCCTTAACATCGTAATCAGCGTCATCGTCATCGTCATCGTCATCATCATCCTCATACCCATCCATCATCACCATCCTCATTAGCATCGTCATCATCAACGTCATCAGCATCACCATCATCATCACCAGCATCATTAGCAGCATCATCACCATCATCATGCTCATCATGCTCATCATCATCATCATCATCATCATCATCATCATCACCATCATTATCATCATCAGCATCATCATCATCATCACCATCATCATCATCATCATCATCATCATCATCATCATCATCATCATCATCATCATCGTCGTCGTCTTCATTATCATACTCATCCTGTTCCTCATTCTTATCCTCATCCTTATCCTTCTCCTCCTCATCATCAGCATCATCATCGTCATCCTTCCCCCTCCTCCTCCCGAGCAATACACAGGGGGGTCAAACTCAGGGGGTCACCTCCTCCCTGAGAAGGAGGTCTCGTCAGGACCCCCCCGGTTCCTCGGAAGCTTCCTCGAACCTCGACCCTCGAACCTGGATCCTCGATCCTCGAACCTCGATCCTCGATCCTCGATCCTCGATCCTCGAACCTCGATCCTGGATCCTCGATCCTGGATCCTCGATCCTCGAAGGACCCCCCCTGGCTCCGCGC